CTTCTGTTTAAAAAATTATAAAGTATATCTGTTATAATTCATAAATAAACTGGGAAAAATTCTTAGTTAGAACATCTAATAAAAAAATGCAGCAGTTTACGGTACCAGCAGAATGGATACATAAATTCATTTAGTTCATAAAATAAACTAATTACTTTGAACTTCAGAGAAAACCTAGATTGAAAATTAAAAAGATTCAGAAATGTTACCTAAATAATTTATCATTATATACAATCGAATAGTTTTTCACAGTAAGGATCCCTTTTCCATCCTTCTCAGGAGCGATGGATTTTTATGAATAAGGTATTGAAACGAAAGGTTAACAAATGGAGCAGTGACGATTAATATAGTAATATCCACCTGAAATTTTAGGAAAAAAAAATCATTGAAATCGGAATATTAACAAAGATACAGCCTATTGTATAATATTCAAATCTTTGGGACTATTAATTTGAATCAACTTATGTGATTTGGCTGAGAATAAGAAAATTATTTCCCCTATCTCATAATACATATCATTAACTTATTTTTATATTATGCCTGGTAGTTCACAGACCATTATTCTTTGCAAATTATTCGCACGGGCCAACTAGTATTTTTTAATTGTCAATTTAAACTAATTGCAAGTCTATCCAAAGCTGAATATAAAATTTTAAAAATGCAGCAGATGGCTCTAAAATACATAAAAATAAAAACAAATTTTTTCCCAAGAAATAATATTAAATATTCTTGAAGTTAAATAATTTCTCTTTATAATTAAAACATTTCTTGGGATTATACAAAAAAAAAAACACTAAGTGTAACAGAAATCAGACTACACTTTTTAAAACTTCAATTGCATCAGAAAAAAATCAATTTTTGATTTAAAAAATGTCCAACAGTCACGTAATGGCTAAATCGTGTACTTTCACATTTCAAAGTTATTTGTATCCTTTTTATACTAATGAAATTCTTATTTTTTTTTAGTTAAAATAGTGAATTCTTTGCTATTTTAAACAGAAACACCAATCCTATTAACAATGAGAAGATTTTTAATAAGGTCAATATAACCTCTTGAGAATAATACAGAATAGTTAATTGATTTAAGCAGCAGTACAGTCAGTATAACTAATATTAAGTCAGTAAACTAATAATTAAGTAGGCAGACTTCTGGTCAGTAAATAGTGGTATACCAAATAAGTATATAAATGATCATTCTGTTTTAAATAATTGATTACTAAGTAATTAATACTGATTAATAAGTAACCCAATAAATTTACTTTGGCGATTCTGGGTACTCATTTTCTGAGAAAAAAAAAAGTAAAATAATTACTGATTAACAAGTCTTTCAAAGAGAATAAGTTGTTATCAAAATCAACAGGTCTTTTATAATAAAAAAAAAAGAATGACAATCAAGATAGCAACTGATTTAGAAGGCCTCATATCTTTCAAACTGAACCATAGAATTTTTATCTACTCAAGAAGTTAATGCTCAATGATAGTATCTTCAAATATTACTTCTAGTGTAGTCTCATGTTCTATTTAAGTGGGGTAAAAATATAAGTCAAAGGAAAAAAATATTTAAATGAAATGATGCTCTTTTCCTCATAAAAGACAGTTGAGATTAGAGTTAAATTTCAATATACTGAGTTTTATTATTAAATATTCATGATAAAAAAGTTTTATGTAAAACACAACTAAAACAAAAAAAAATGAAGTTTTTAAATTTAGTTCACAGGAAACTAGAGAGAAAAAATAAATTTTATGTTCAAATCCCAATAAATAATCGATTAGTCAACTTTAAAGTGTTATTGAAATTATAATTATAAAAACAAAACATCTAGTATGACTATTCCAGTAATTACATGCTGAGGGATAATTCACTACAGTTCAATAGTTAACCAAGGTGAATGAAAGTAAAAATATACAAAAAAATAATGCATATTTGAAAGATTTGCGAATGATCTCAGTAATTTGTTGAGTGCTAAATATTATCCATAATTAAATAATAAGGGCTCATTCTGTACACAGTTGGCTGTAGTAACAGGATTTGATTGGCCATTGAAATTAAACATGAAAATGTTTTTAAAAAATTAAAAAATTGATACCACTTAGCTAATTTTAACAAAAAGGTTTATGTAACATCCAAGGATTCTATTTACCTCAAATACACAATTTCAGTTTTGAGACTTTTTGTTTTTGAGCTAGACTGATCACATACATACACACACAAAAATACCATTTTGGACACAGGGGACCTCAAAACATGTATTTATGTTAAAAACTCATGATTCAAAAATTTTCACGACCGCAATACTTTCTGTTTCCATATAATACATACATAGGTAAGTGAAACTAATAAAGAATAAAAACCAAAATATTGTAAACATTGATACCTTTTAAAGAACACAAAGGCTGTATAAATAAAAAAATTATATGCAAAATTTAAGAAGCATTGATAATGGTGAAGACATTATTGACTATAGACTATATGGTAGGGGGTTGCAGTCAGGGAGAAATCAAAATAAAAATAGCATATTTTTATTTGATTTTCCTGCCGACATTTCGGCCTTTATCAGGATTGAGAAAAGACAAGATAACAACCAAATTTATAATTTTGGTTTTCTTTTTTTTTTTCAGCGCTGTAACATAGGCAAAAATAAAAATATTTTATTTTTATTTGTGTGCTCTCTGACTGCACTCCCTAACTAATAACCTTAAAAAGTATTGTTTTACCTTGTTTACTGTTTCTAGTTTATGTATTTTCAGTTGAATAATTGACCAATAGAATAATACGAGGTAGACCAATAAATATTATCTTTTATGATCTACGCTTAAGCTTGAACTAAAGCTGGGGGTGGATGGAGCCTCCGCCCAAGGGTGCCACTGTATATTAACATTGGAATGATAGAGCCAATATTCAAAACAGAAATTTAAGTGAACTGCACAAAATAAACCTGGGTAGAATATTCTTTAATAGTGCCAATTTCTTCTAATCATTAACTTCTGAGATTAACTATAGCAGGACAATAGGCCCTTTTAAAAATTATCCTATCCTGATTTCTTTTGTGTAGTTCTGACAAAGTTTTAGATATAGATTCCTTTTTTTCCAAATACAGATATACATGTGGGTTATGCTATACCATGGCGGTAATAATTTTACAAAATACACTTATGTACTTCTTAGTTGCTGTTATAGAAACGAAATTAAATTTTTGAGATACAAGAACCATAGGTCCGCCATACTTTCCTCCATGGAAGACCCTGAGCATCGTTTGTCTTTAATATAAGCCAGTGGTCTCCAAACGTTTTGGCTCCCGGCCACGCTAAGTCCCACGGACCATTGCTTGTCATGGAAAAAAAAAAAAGGTTCTATAACTGACACTTCAGTTATGAAACGAACTTTCTAACAGAAACAACACAAGCAATAAATGTAGTAAGCTTGTGTTTCAGTGATTAAGTAAATTTATCATATTTACTAAATAGCTTTTAAAATTTCACCATACAATCAAAGAAACTTTTGCGGGATGTAGTTTGGAGACCCCTTATCTTAACATAATGTAATAGTTAACATTACAATCCAAAAATTTATTATATCTTGACATAACATAAAATATAGAAGAAAAAAAGCCATTTTCTCACCATTTGCAAGCATTAAGTGAAGGCATTTAATGAATTTCTTACACATTGCAGTCCCAGTTATGTTAAAATTAAAACTTGTAACTAAATTTAAACTAATAACCTTTGAATTTTGGATATTACTATAATGTGTTTTGGCTTTTTTAATTTACTTTTACTGATATTTATAAAAAAAATTGCAGTATTAGTAATAAAATGTTTGTAACCAAAAATATATGTATTTACCACAGAGACGAAACATCATATATCACCATTCAAATATAAACAAACAAAACATCAAGGATAAATCCTATTCTATATTTAGTTGTAGAGTTAAATAATTAATTATTCTCGACTCATTTTACAAAGTGATTTTTACGAACAACAATCCAATTATACTCTGAAAATTAACAAAAAATCTCAAGTTTGTAATAGCTGCAATCCTAAATTAAATAAGTATCCACATTATAAAGCATCCTGTGTTAAATAAGTTTCAAAACATTAATATAATCTAAAATTATATTTAAAATTACACTGAAAATAAAATAAATAGCCAAATAAGTACGATTCTTGGAGCAATGGAAGTAGATAGAAATATGAGAATAAGATTGCGATTGATAAATGAGAAATTAACAGGAGAAAGTAGGAACACAGAAGTTTCAAACAAATCAAAACACAATATGCTTTATCCGTAAGTTATACCATGTACGTAAACGAATAAATGTCTACCAAATATAATTTGACTAATAATCTTAAAGATAATGATAGGTAGTTAAATAAAAAGACGAATTTCCTGGCATTTGAAATATTACTGAATCATAAATACAAAGTACCATCAATCATTGTACAAAGTTCATGTAAAAGAAATCTCGTTATACAATTAGAAAGTACATGAGAAACATTATACATTATAAATTTAATAACAAAAAAAAAAAAAACTCTTAAATCTTACAACTATATAAAAAAAAAGAAAAAGAAGTTTATATTCCTCTAATTATTTTACTCCTTCAGGTTTTCCATTCATTAAAAATGGATAATTTTAAAAGATTACTACATCAAAACAACACAATGAAGGAATATATTAACTATTTACTAATATTCAAAGTCATATGCTAAAAAATTAATTCAGGGCTGAACATTAAATTAAAATTACCAATATATATTTTTGTCACTTCATACTCATTCGCCAATTTATGCAATACATTAATAATGTATGTATATTCAAGTCACATACACAGAACAATTAACGTTTATCAGAACAAGTCACAGTTGAATAGAAACAGGCTGAACTACTACTCAATAGAAATTATTTCTAAAAGTGAAAAACATGAATTTTGTCAATTGGAATAAAATTTAATTTGAAATAGGGGTACAACATGTGTCTTGTTCTGAACAATTTAAAATCAGTATGGCATATAATAAGGTCGACGGAAAACTCTTGCTCTCCTCGATCTGGTGAAACCATAGAAAGCTCCTCGTGCATACCTGCTTCTTCCTCGAGCGCCCCGAAATCCTCTGTTTGTTGTACTCAATCCAGGACGGTTAGTTCTCTTAGGATTAACCTTAATTTGCCTGCCTCGGAATAATGACTCATCCATTGCCATGGCTGTTTGAACAGAATCTTTGTCAGCAAATTCAATGTAAGCAAAGCCCTTAGGATGACCATCAAACTTATTACATAGAATTGTAACTCGATTAATAGACCCACACCCATGGAAATGTGATTCCAATTCTTCAGCAGTAGCACCATAATCTACATTTCCTACATAAATGGACCGGTTGTCCACTTCTACCTTTTCTTCAAATGATAAATTCAACCCACCTGGTATCGTGGATGGCGGGCTGCCAAGATTCATCTGCTTATCAACTTCAGTCTGCATTTGTTTCAATTTTTCAGCTTCTTCTTCCATTTCACGAACTCTAGCTTTAATGGCTTCTAATTCTTGATCTTCAACATGACCAGTGGCACCGTCAGCATCACCGTTCTCACCTAACTGTTCGTCTCCATTTTCGATTGCTTCCATGCTCTTTCCACTGAGATCGTCTTGATCGGCCATAAATAAGGGAAAGGTTATGAAATAGTGGTAAAAACAGTTGGAAACAAAGCTCACTACTACAGCTTACCGGGTTGAAAAAATGTAGTGATATTTACATCCGAACAATCATTCTAAATCAAAAAAACTTAGTTGGTCGTAATTGATAATACGACCGGGTAGATAATTCGAACAAAATAATAACTAACGCTATTAACAACACAGTGTTTCTAACACAATAATACGGCCGGAATTTTGCGCTTACAACACTAGAAGCTATGAAGCCCTCAGTACCGCCAACCGACCACGGCATTCATTCCCTCTGAACAAATCTCAAAACATAAGCAAATCTGACTACTTCGTATCGAAAATAAAAATTAGCTGTTCTACAGGATTTTTATAATAAAATAATAAAAAATAATAAATTTTAAAAAAAGTAAACGTAAATATTCAGGACAAATATATACAAAAACACAACTAGTGATACATTTTAATTTTTCAAATATAACAGACTATTAAGAAGATAAAAACTAACTTATAAAAAATAAATGTGTAATAAGAAAAAAAATCAATAACGTCCGTTGGCTATAATAAAGCATGCTAGAAATATTTGAAATTAAATGGCAGTTACGTGCTTGGTTTACTGGACGAGATGGCTCTCCATGTTTATCCCCCCTCTAGGCTGTTCTCGCCAAATGACTATGACCTGATATTAATTGTTTAAATGATCCGGCGGTGAGAAATTGCTTATGAGTAAATGTAAGTTTCACCTGTTTAAAAATAAGAAAATGTTTGCTATTATCTTATACTACACGATCTACAAAAGTTATATGTGTAATAGCTGACGTCGTTGACCTCTGTAATTACTACACTGATATTTGTTTTGAGTTAAAGATCAATAAAACAGTTTAACTGGATTTTCTTTTTTTTTTTTATATTGTTGAGATGTTATACCTGCTGTGTTATTCAGATCACAATTTTCGTTAAAGGCGTTAAGTTTTATTGATTATATTTACCTTCCAATCATTATATCTTGAAGATTTATTTTTGATACATTCCACTTATGTATAACTTTGAGTAACACTGTATGTATTTATCTTAACCTATATTTGATTATTATTCAAAAGCTATTTTCATATGAGTTAAAAAACATTTTTACAATTTATAAGTATTATTCCTAAGTAACAGACTGAACCCATATTTGATGTGTGCTTAAAAAATGTTCAAGCATATTTTCTAATTTCTCGTTTTTGTTACTAAACATAACTAATTTGTCAATGGTTGTTGGTTATGTGTTTCTTTTAGGTGATGAATCACTGAGATCATGTCGAAAAGAAATGCTGAACAAGAGGGAGGCAATGCAAGCCAGCCTCCCCAAAAGAAGGTTCAATTCGAACCTGTTCGAATTGGACCCATCTCAACCCTAGAGGAAATGGATATTAAAGTTCTTCAATTCCAAAACAAGAAACTAGCCCAGGTAAGAGCTGGATTAGAGTTAACCTAGGTTTCAATATGTAAATTAAATATGATACTTAACATCTCACCAAGATATCCATGTATGTGTTAAAACTTACTATTCTCTTTTTTGATCAAAAAAGTCTAAATAGTTATGTTCGTTGTATTTGTGTATTTTAGTGAAAATAATTTAAAATCAAGTCTAGTTTTGTTTAGATCTTCATCATGTCATCTGTATACCCATTTCTGTTCAAGTTCAATATATTTAAACTTCTACCATTGTGTTTTTCTTTCTTATACCTTTCTGTTGGAGTATTCGAAAAGAGTAGCAAGATATTTACAATCAAATTTTAGCTCGATGATGTATTTATAGTTAAAAAAAGTTGTTGGGTTAGAACCACTTTACCTAATTGAAGACATTAATGTAAAGTTTTTCACTGTTAATTGTCTACTGTTGAGTTAATAATACTTAAATAATTTGTAATTTCTATTTTGTGTACATATGTAGGTATATAAACACAAGCTTAGATTTTTATTAATGTTGTCTTTGAACTGTGTATTTTACCTTATATCCATAAAGTCTCAAACTGGGTCATGTTACTTTATATAAGGAAACTCCTACAAAAGGTATTTATGGATGTTAAACAAAAGTTAAGATTATCTAAGCAATTTTAATGTTCAAAAAATGCCTACAAATGTATAGATAATAGCTTGATGATTAGTCCTTAACTTATATCAATGAAAAATGTAAACAAAGTAGGTTCTAAGAAGGTTATTTATTACTTTCATTGTGGGTGGTGATAGTTTCTTCTGTCCCTAGATAAGGTGTTACAAGTTTTCTCTCTTTCCAATTTAAATTTATTTATTTGTATCAACACATTTATATTATGTTGGCTCTTTTTAAATTCCCTCTCTTAAATTAAGCTTCAACCTAAATTTATCGATTCTTCTTGTTTCTTTAAACTTAAATGATTCTCTGAACTAATTATTTCTGACAACTTAAATGCAAATTATCTTATTATGTTATTCATAGTTTTGAGGTTAGTAATTTTTATTCTCGCTGTATTAAGGATACAGAGAAACACAGATACATCTTGCAAAGATTTGTGATACATTTTTTTTTTTCTCTAAATCTGCTATTCAAATATAATTGGATTTAGTTAGCTAAAATATTTTTATTTTTCAACAGCATTATAATTTAACAGTTTAGTGATTTTTATAGTTCTTGTTGATGTTTGCTCTCCCTTTATTCTACATAAAAAATTGAGCACAATGATGATGATTTATGATCTAATATAAGCCTAGAATTATGTGTGTGGTGGGACTTTAGTTTGATTTAAATGCATATAATTGGTTTAAATTTAAATGCTTTACTTCCGAAAGTAATGAAGAACTGAACTGTACCAAGCTTTGTATTGACAGGAGAATCATAAATTCCCACTCACATTTTATATTTTAAACAACAAACAAATTTGGTTCCGTGTCTGTCTGTAGTGAAATCCATGTTACAGACATATATTATCACATACTACTGTAGGTATTTAGAGATTGTGATGGTACGGACTTGGTTCTATATCAATTTCATTTAAGTCCATCCTCAACTTTGTTTTTTGTAGATGTATTTTCCTAGCTGTGTCAAAATTTAAAAAGAAACTTGACTAATTTGGTTCAAAGTAGAGGATTAGTAAAATAAATTATGCTGTACTAATCTAATCGAATTTCATCCACTACTTCCTACATATCCTTATCGGTAGGCACTTTGGTTCCACAAATACCTAGGCCTCCTTAAAGACTTCGAGCCAGTCATTCCTATCTTTTGCTCGTGTCCTCCAACTCTTTATCCCTTGCAACTTGAGGTTCTCCTTGACATCATCTAACCATCTTGATCTTCCTTTTTATCCTTTCTATATGTCCGGCCCATCAGAAGCGGGCTTTTTTCACAAGTGATACAAGGTCTGGTTTCCTATGCATTGTATGGAGCTTACAATACTTCCTTAATCACCACATGCCATTTTCTCTTATTGGCCCATATATCTTCCTGAGTAATTTCCTGCCCCAGACATCGAGTTTCTTTTCACTTTATTTGTCAATACCCAGGATTCACTGCCATAAGTAACTGTGGGTCTCAGGATAGTTTCATATATCAGGAGTTTTGCTGTTTTTGGTAGAGCTTTAAACTTATATGTTTTTTTGTAGGATAGAAAGGCACATGTTAACTGTAGACACCCTTGCATTCATCTCCTCTTTCATTGACAGATCCAAAGTACTTAAAACTGCCTGTTCTTTTAAAATTACATTCACCGATCTGTTAATTTTAGTGTGCTAGTTGTTGGTTCTAGGAAATTTTTAAATAATTTGTTTTTCATTTATTAACATGAAGGCACATTTCTACCTCTTCCGTTTTGAACTCTTCTAAAGGTTCTTCAAGCAGCTGTGCTCTAGCTATTATGAGCACATCATCACTTTCTACATATTTTTCTTCTACTTCTATTTTAAATACTCCACCTTTGATTAAGTTAGAAGTAAGAGTTAAGAAAATGATAAAGCAGGTATGAGTTTTATCAAGTTCCATTCCCTGCTTTTAAGGAATTCTTTAGCTTACAGATGTGCAAATGTATTTTCCTTTATACATCTATATTTCCAAAATGAATTGTTTGATTTGGTCTAATAGTCTGTGGTACTTAATGAGTGGTGCCTAATAGACTCCTTCTAATCAAATTATTGACTTTTTTCCAAAAATTCGCAGATAGCTTCATCTCACCGTAACCTACAACTTTTTTGTTTATGAAAATTTTCTGGGTTGGGATGCTTTCAATCTGGAGTTTATTTTTATACTTTATTAGACCGCTGCTGCTTTAATTATTACTGCAAATAATCAAAACTGGAATTAGCCACCTTCAGATTACAATCCTTTAACTCCTACCGATCCTCTCTCTCTTCTCTCGACAATTCCCTTTGGAATCCCCTCAACAAAAATCCTAAACCCTCACCAAATTTCCCATCCCTTCCGACAAGATGACAGCTCCTGGGCAGCATCTGATGGAAATAAAGCTGAGGAGTTCGCCTTCACCTATCCAATACATTTATTTCACATCCGGAATCCCATTCCGTTCACACTGTAACAGTAGAAGAACTCCTTACATCACCAATCCCAATTTCCTTGCCACCTAATGCAATTCATCCTTCTGAAGTAAAATTTCAATTACAAAAACATCCCGCGTAAAGCTCCTGGATATGTTCTCCTTACCCCTCAGATCCTTCAACAACTTCCATCCAAAGCAGTCATATTCCTTACATATATCTACAACTGCATCCTATGCACCACCCACTTTCCTCTGTTATGGAAACACTCCACTATTATTCTTTTCCCAAAACCAGGCAAACCTCCCAACAGCTTAACATCCTATAGACCAATTAGCCTACTCCCAATCCTTTCAAATTTTTTTAAAAGATCCTTTTGAAACGAATCCTACTTGTGTACGAATAGTCTTATGTCCTGTGCTTTACTGCTTACATCTCTGTCCATCCTGATACCTTCCTTGCAGCATTCGCTGATGACACCGCAATCTTATCATCCAACTCTCGTCCTGAAATAGCATCCTAAAATCTGCAAAGGCACCTCTCCTTGATTGATCTCTGGTGTAATAACTGGATCATTAAAGTTAATGAATCCAAATGCCAACATATTAACTTTACACTACGACACAATTCCTGTCCACCAGTACACTTTAATTCCATCCAGCTTCCTTTCTCAGATACAGTCCGGTATCTTGGCTTTCATTTAGACCAGAGACTAACATGGAATCCACATACTAGACTCAAAAGACAAAAACTCAACCGACGATACGGCCACCTATTCAGACTATTAAACAGAAAATCTAAACTTTCTATTGAAAACAAGTTACTTATCTACAAGACAATCCTGAAATCTATATGGACATATGGACTTGAACTGTGGGGGGCAACAAAATTGTCTAACATCAATCCTTTCAATCTAAAGTCCTTTGAACAATAGTTGATGCTCCATTCTATGTAACATAACAAAATCCTACAGCATGACCTTAATATCCCATTTGTCCTAAACCTTATCCCAGAAAAATTCTCCAAATTTCACTAGAAGTGAATGGATTATGTAAATATTGTATGCATGTGTTTTAGTTGTTATTTTGATTAATTTAGTTCTTTTATTTATATATATTTACTTTTAAATAGATAATGTAAATAGAGTAAATGCATAAAATAGTCTGTAAATAGAGTGTGAATGTGCTCTTTGAACACTATTATAAATGTCCTTAATTGTGACAGATTGTAATATTTCTGAATAAATAAATATGAAATATTATCATCAGTGACAGATTGTTTCAACATTCTAAAAGAAACCAATTAGGAAATAAATACTAATTTCTCCATCTTCAAATTTATTGCTCCCTCCCCTATTTTAAAATAATCTATCCCCTTTTGACAAAACTCTCCCAATTATTTGAGATGAAATTCTCATTTAAAAGGAAAAAATATTTTAAAACAAAATAATAATGAATTCCTGGCTTGGGCATACGCAGAGGAGTGCAAGGGGGAGCCTTGCCTCCTCTATATATTACTGATGTTACTTGTTGATTGTAATTGCCTTATGTATTGTGCCTTTAATATTCTCGAGAAACAAACCGATATTATATCTACTATCTTTTAAACTAACATTGATATTACATCTCATACAGATACATATAAATTATATAAGTGAGAGGGGCAATAATATTATCTTTTTGGAGGAGAGGGGGGGAAGATAGGCACCCCTGGCCCTATTAGTACTCGAAGTAGGGTGGTAAGAGAAAGTTCTGTGATTTTCATATCAGATCATTTTTTTTAATGACTTGCTGATAAGGAATTTATTTTCTAGAGATTAGAGCAAAGGAATCGAGTCGAGACCGAATTGAGGCTAAGGATAGAACAATTAGAAAAAAGACAAACACAAGATGATGCCGTCTTGAATGTGGTTAACCGTTATTGGAATCAGCTCAATGAGGACATTCGAGTCTTGTTACAAAGGTTCGATGCCGAGACTGCTGATGAGTCCGAAAATAAAAGTAAGAAACTTTTTTTAACTGACATTTTTTCATTAAGAAAGATTAAATTATACCTTTACATTTCTTTACCAAATTATTCCATTGTTATTTGATGATCTGATTATGCGTTCATTTATTTAAACCTTTTTTCTTTTTCTTTTTCTCTTAGATGAAGGAGAAGCCACAACATCGTTTCTATTACAGTTGTCCACGTGGGACAAGGAAGAACTGGATGATAAGCTGGCTAATAGGGTGCAGGTCTCGAAGCGAGCCGTTGCTAAGGTTATTCAAGCATTTGATCGCCTTATGCAGCGTAACGAAAAGATCACTCTCGCACTCAAGGGGGAGCTGGATGGAGGTATGTTTTTTTAATTGATTTTTATTGTAATCCACAATATGGTATCCCTTCATTTTAAAAGTTATTCCTAAACAGGGTGGCAATCGATCTGGAAAAACTGGGAAAAGTCAGGGAAAAATTGTTAAAGTCAGGGAATTTTTTAATTTTTTTTTTTCAAATTGGAAATAAATATGCAGTGGATATCACTTGAAAGCGGTAAACTTTGTCGTTATCGATGTCCATGGTCGCCATATTCATCTATCTTTGACTGCCAATAACAGCATTGGTTATTATATTTAAATCAAACACAAGGGTAATGAGTAAAATTTAAGCAAAATTAACTTGAAACAGTGCGACCCGGAATAGCAGAGTGGTTAGCGCGCTATCCTAGTAAAGTAAAGATCATAGGATCGAATCCCATCCCTAATTCTCACAAAGGCTGGTCTCTGCGGGAAGTTTGACCATAACCCCCTTAATTTAGGTGAGGCGTACTGGTTGTAATATACTTGTACCAACAGACTAGCAAAATAAAAAATTGAAGCAGATGGCAGTAATTTTCAAATTTTTTTAAACATACCAAGACTAAATAACCCCCCCGCCCCACGGCACCCACCTAGGTCAAAGACGACATGGCCTGGCCCAGCACTTACCCATCGAGATGTCATTCCGTGGAGCACGCCTTAAATAGAGTACCCTGATTTTATCACCAAAACACCTCTAAAATCAAGCATCTACACCCCACACCATGCATCCTCTCAACAAACCCCATCCGTTATTTACCCCAGACCGCCCCCCTTTTTTTGTTTTTTTTTCCTCACAGTCACTAACTTTGTAGTCAACCCTCTATTCATGTATATAGAATAAATATAGTATAAATTATACCACCCTACCCATTAAATAGTGACCCCAAAACAGACCATACAGGACACAGGGAAAGCTAACAACACCAACAGGAAAAGTACCCTACAGGACAACAACAATAACCAACCCGGTATACCCCTCCCACAATTGACTTTCAGTCCAACTTGGCAAACCACCTGTCCCCTAATTTTTCCAAAACGAACCCATACTTACCCGCACCGCCAATTTTTGCACCCCTACTACCGAAGGTTGCACGCCATGACAATCCAAGAGATAACACCTGCTAAACCTTAAATCCGAACCTACAAAGAATTCCTATTGGTACCCTTGGTTGAACCCTGTATCATTTTCATTCTCTACTTATATTCCTCACATAACCCCACCCATATCAGACACAAAGCACACACCCAGCGTCAAAAACCTCCAACCCACAAATTAACAATTATTCCCCCAACCCCCATACCCAACAACCACAAACAAACAAACCCCCCCAAATCCCCACTCTTCCCCCCCCCCCCCTCCTATCCCTTTCCCATAGCTGCTTGCAAAAAGACAACACAAAAGTCATTTTACTTTCTGATAAAGCACAATCACACACAGTAAAACCAGTGAAGGAAACGATTCAGGGATTCAATTGGAAAATTTTAGCATATTCGTCTTACTCACTAAACTTCGCTCCACATGACTATTTATTCGTTTTGATGGGGTATGGACTGGACTTGGTCAGCAGTTGTTTTTTTTTTTTTTTTTTTTCCATGTCATTCATAAATTGCCCAATAAATGAGAAAAATATATTATTAGCAATAGAAAATATGTCAAATAAAATAAAGAGAAGTTGTTTAAACAAATTAAAAATAAATAAATGATATATTTTTTTAACTTATATATTTTTGATGAAAAACCCCAACCACAACTACTCTTCAATTATTCACTCCAGTCAACCATCATACCACTATTTCAAATAATTTTTTTATAACATTTTTATCCTGTAAATGTGTACTTTGTGTACGAAAATTACAGTTCCGTATTTACCTACCCTGGTATATTATAAATTATGGAATGGATCTGGCTTGATAAAAGGACTTTCTGGTGGTAGCGTTTTCTCAGATTGCGTTTCATTTAGAACATGAACATCTAAGATCGTTGTTAACTAGGTTTTGATGTCAAACAATCGATACATCATGTGTCAAAACAACATTAGAAGGAATGGAAATTATTCATGAAACTAAATAAAAATGAAAATAAATCAGTAAAAACACACAAAAAAAAAAAACTGAAACCGACTTCAAGAGGTACATATGAACTACATAACAGAAAGATATGATTTTACTTGCAAAAGTATATTATTAAGGAACCATTCAAAATCAACTTTAACTATACAATAATGTATCATTAAAAAGTAACATCCATAGTTCTTTAATATTAATAGAAAATGCTCAGACGGCGGACGGACAAAAAAGTTTTTTATTCATTTTTCGAATTCTACGTATTCTGGAACGTAAAACCTCAAATTTTGAGAGGGGCTTAAGTTTTGTAATTTTTTGTTTGATTACAGTGGTTCATTATTTAAAATAATAAACCAAAAAATTATTATGTATATATAGCATTATTTATGTTGGTTTTAGAAATGCAAATATCAGATGATCAACTTTTTTTTTTTTCTGTGATATTGTTTCTGTAAAAAAAAAACATATTTCTGTCTTTTTTTTTTTAATTATAACCTCATGGGCAATGATTTTACAGTAGAGTATTACTTCTGAAATAAATAATGTTTATAATTTCAAGGTATATAACTAAAAAAAGGATAAAAATTATTAAAAAATAATTTAATAAATCAATTTGTTAAAAAAAGAAAGAAAAAAAACAGTATGAAATTCAGTTTTTTGATTCTTCATACCCTCTATGAAACCTAAAACCTCAAACTTTAAAGAGGTACTGTCTGCACTTAGAACTTTTTCTCACCACGATAATGAATTCTGGAATGACTTAAGTTCTAACTGCAAAATTTTAGTATTCAAATTTATATTAATAAGTGGTACAATTAAGTTAACTGCAAAATTTTAGTATTCAAATTTATATTAATAAGTGGTACAATTAAGTTAACTGCAAAATTTTAGTATTCAAATTTATATTAATAAGTGGTACAATTAAGTCATTGACAAATGCCTAATTAAGTTCACAGCTTCATGGTATTTTATTGTACAAATAAAATTATTTATCTAAGTAACAGAATATTCCTACTACAGTAAATTATAACTTTGAAGCTCTTTTTCTCATAGTTATTTATAGTAAATGCAGTTAGAACCTTTTCAAACCAAGGCCACAAATTGTTGCCCATGACCGCAATAGGTACTTTATGAGAAGATTATATCTAATATAGAACATCATGAGTTAGTTTCAAATTGTAGGCTACATTAATTGATTTGATTAGAAGAGGTGAAATGAAGTACAAAAAGATAGCAACATAACATTATAGAATAATACCCATAAGGTGACTATATACCAATTATTGAATTGGTCTCAATAAAATAAAACGTATAACTAAAAAAAAAAAAAAAAAAAAAAAAAAAAAAAAAAAAAAAAAAAAAAAAAATGTAAATTTTATTGTAACTTGTAAATTATTCCAAAATTGAAAGTTTTTTGTTTTCACAAATGTATTTTCATTATCTATTGTTGGGTCTATTGTAAGTGGTATTATTATCACTAACTTATCAAGTTTTGTTTGTTTTTTTTTAACAATAGACTTACTTTAAAGGTTATTTGAAATATCTGTTGTCATTTTTATAAACCTCTTAATTTTTTTAACCAATAAACAATAACTTCCATTTATTTATTATTATATTATAAATTTCAAGATGAAGCTCCCGTAATGGACGAAGTGATAAGGCAAGCTAATATTGAAATCCAAGCCGAAAACCGTAACCTCCAAGCTTTGAACACTTCTCTGCATAAGAAATATCATACAATATCGCTTAAGGTATATAACATTATTTAATTTGGTCTGTTTATTTAAGTTTGTTTGTTTTGAATAGGTTTGGTATTCATGAATGAATAGATTTGTGTTCTGTAATTGTTTATGTGAGGAAAAACTGTTATTATAATACTCCCATTCATCGACTCTTTTAAACATCTGTTGATTAAACTAAATTAAGTAAACAGTTGTAAACAGTTTTTATTATTTTTAATTTGATTTACATTGGTACGAAGGTTCTGTAATGTATATATATATATTTTTTTTTTACATTATATACATATTTTTTAATATTTATATAAATTAGGCCAATTATCACCAAACATTTTATTGATATGCTACTTAATTTGACGTTTCGACCATACTAAGGGTCATTTTCAAGTCCTTGATTCGTCCTCCAGTATATATTCATCATTAATCTCGCAAATAATATGTTCAGTGGACATTAAATTGTCATGTTCTATATATAAACCGGAGGACTCATCAAGGACTTGAAAATGACACTTAGTATGGTCGAAACGTCGAATTAAATAGCGTATCAATAAAATGTTTGGTGATAATTGGCCTAATTTATATAAATATAAAACCTCTAGACACCAAAATTAGGATAAATAAACCGAAGACATATTTTTTAAGATATCTTGATTTAAAAATATTTTGTTGATATCTTTACTTTTGGTTCTTCTTGTATGTGTTAGTTTTCCTTATTTTTATTTAATGGAAAGAGTGGAGACTTACGATTACATTTTAAATTATTAATTTTTTTCTTTCAATTTAATACAAATGAATCAATCATATGATGTCTACTCTTGGTTTTTTTTTTTCTATTGGGGACGATTTTCTCAAATTTATTTATTGTATTACATCACTAATAAAAGATTTTAAGATGCAATGTTTTTTCTTGTTGTTGAAGGGCATTGGGTGAACAATTTTAAAAATTAAAATAAATGAATAGTCAAACAATATAAAATAGATAACTAACTTTGTTTAATTATTTCACAATGTGATAGTAGTATAAATCGAATTTCAGACTTTAAATTTTATGCGATACATCAACACTTTTTATTGAAAGTTTTATTTGTTATTTATGTAAATTTTTTTATATGAAGTATTGTTATCTTATAAAATAAGGCTCTGTTTATTTTTTCAACATATTTATTTTAATTTCATAGCTACGTTTCAGCCGGTAAGCCATCCTGAAGCTATTTTATTCAACCATGCTTTTTGCATGTAGTCCAAAGACTTTGGACTACATGCAAAAAGCATGGTTTGAATAAAATAGCTTGAGGATGGCTTACCGGCCGAAACGTAGCTATGAAAATTAAAACAAATATGGTGAAAAAATAAACAGAGCCTAATTTTGTAATATTCAAACATTTTCACCTTAAACAAGTATATATGGATATTGTTATCTTCTTTTAGATGGCAGAGCTGCAGGATCAGGTTGCAGGTAGGGAGACAGAAGCTGCTGAAATGAGAAACCAGATTGACGATTTGCAATACGAGCTGTCGAAAGTGCAAGCTCGCAACGACAAGCTGGAACATCATCTCGCTGAAGCGATCGAGAAGCTGAAAAACTATCAGCAATTACAAGGTGAAGAAAAAGGTCAAACCAAACCTTCACCAACATCCAACGTCTCTCAGAGGAAGGTATGTTTATTTTTTTATATTGTATTTTGTAGTAATTATTAATAATAATACATTACGAATTCTAAAAATATAAATTTGAAAGTTTTTAGTAGTAAAATATGACGGAAAATAAGTTTCCAGTAACTTATTTCATATAGAAGGTTCATATTGTGTAAATATTTATTTTTATTGTAGTTCAAATGTATATATTAAGCTGCTTTTTTTTTTATACGATCCTAATGCAATGTTACGAACACTCGTAGTAGTGTTTAAGTAATGCTTTCTGTATTTTAAGCTCAAGTAATTATGTCTGAAATACAGATTTATGTTGAATAGAAATAAATAAAAAAATTATTAATAATAAAAAGAGAATATCCCTGAATATTCCAAAAAATCAAATTCAAACTTATCAATTCAACTAATGATTGACAAATATTGTGAAAATTGCAAGAAAAGTTGTGTGGTTGTGTAGATAAATAAATATAAATTATATTTATTTTTGTTTTCTTCCAATGACTGCAATGTTTATCAACTTCTCTTATTTGAGATTTTGATTTATCAAGTTTTTGTAATGATGCGTCATGATGCGTTGTAATGTAAATATATTAGTATACCATTTTTTTTAATTGGTTTACTCATTTGCCAACAGGGTGATGACCGAACTGGAAAAAGAGAATTTTTTAGTACGAAAATAAATATGTATTATATTTAAACTACTAGTTGGTCCGTGCGAATTATTTGTAGAAAATGTTGTCAAGGAATAGCGAAACAATGTGGAAATAAGTAGATTCTATGTATTATGTGAGGGAGGAATTTATTGTTTTTCCGTGGTCGATTACAATATCTCATTAAACATAATTGTTGGGGCCGGGGGTATTTCAAAATTAAAATACAAACCCTTTCCCGGTGATGTTCCTCAAAGGTGGGGAAAATTCGAGTGAAATTAAAAAAAAAATGTTGGGAAACAGGGAAAAAAAGAAGAAGAAAAATGAGATCTGTAAACATAAAAAATGTGCATGCACAAGAAAATATTAAAATTAAAATATTTAATAAATCAAAAAATGGAAAATGAAAAATCCCCTTTTGAACGTTTACAATTTATTGAGATAAAAAAAAGAGATAAATTTATATAAAAGTTGAGATAAACAATATTGGAAAGCTACGAGAAAAATAAACATAAAATATAACATCCAGAGAAAATAAAAATAAATTAACCATTAATAACAAATATAAATAAACTCAACTTCTAAAATCATAAACAAAATCAATAGAAAGAAAAAATAACTGTACAAAATAATAAACTAATTTATTGAGAGGACCAAAAAATAACTTAATGTTCAATGTCTTGTTGGGAATAAAACAAAAATACGAGCCAGGTTGGAGGTTCTACTTCCAACCTGGTGGTTACCTTCTACGATGTAAAACAGTCTATGGTGGGAAAGTATCAAATCGATAGCCTATTGATCTCGATCGACGACTACCAATGCACCAAACAGCTGGGATCTTCAAAATGGCGCTGGTGAGGTGAACGAAACGAGACGGCCTGGAGCTTGGTGAAAATGGTGGGGGGTAGACGTCTGCTATGAACGAAAGACAGCTCCAGACTCCCCACCCAACAGTATTAGCGCAGTATTTGTGTCTTAATCCCTAAGACAGGGTATTATTGCCGGGCTGGAGCGTATACACAAACGTGATAGCACATTGCAAACGAAGCCAAATATACAAATACAATAAAGTTAAATAAATTTTTGAGACAATTTTCCCTCAGTTTTTTACCAAAAAAAAAAAAATAAACATTTTCTTGTTAACACTTAAAAAGGGTTAGTGGAGAGAAAATAATAATGCAAAAATTAAAAAATAAGCCTATTCGGCGTTTACAATAATAGACCAAAATATTTGTACAAATTGCTTTGATAGGACCTATTTTTAAACGCTGACTGGAAATGTACCATCCCCACATATATCATTACAGTAAGCCTCGAAATTGGTTTTGTACCAAATATAAGCTCCTGTCATGCTCAAATACCATGAATGGGGCATCGTTGGATTCCGAATTTCATGGAGGCTTAGCGAATCACATTCTCCACTTTTATTTTTCTTTCTAAAATTTTTTAAAGGCTAGGCTTCAATACTGGAACGGTCGTAGGTTTGTAGATCGATACGGGATAAATTGGACCTTGAAGATTTTGATGCGTACAGTAAGACCCGGATAGTTCCTTCGGAACTATTGGATTCTGCGTTTTTAAGCTCAAAAATGTACTATTTTTGAGATAACGCAAGGCATAGGGTTCGTATCCACACAACCTTACGTTAATTGTAGTACTATCATTGAATACATGTCTCATTTCGTCGACTTGAGGTCTCTATGATTGAGGGAGCAAATAGTCCAATCACCCTGAAAATTCAGGGAAACAAGTTATGAAAGAAAACAAACTTTATTTGTGAATAACTAAAAAATTACATACTTTTCTCTTGGTTATGCCCATGATTATGTAAAGGATTTCTAAATACCCTACAAAAGGAAAAAAAAATCAGCAATCGGACAATTTTTAGCAAACAAAGATACAGCTTATTGAAATTTGTAAACATGTTGGTTCCAAACATTTATGAAGATTTAAATATTTTTTTTTTTTCCTTTGTCAATTATATTTATCGATAAAGTAATAATTGATTTCTTTATCTTTTGATATGTTGCATTATTTTATTTTCTTATTAATTTGGCATTTGATAACAATATGCTGTACGAATTTTTTGCACGGGCCTACTAGTTCAAAATAAAGCCTCGGTCATTGGATTTTCTAAATTATAATAAAACATAAAATGTACAAATGAAGACATGCTTTTAAGAAATGATAATATATATATCAGCCAAGAAAAAAAAGGGTAAAAGAATAGTAAATGCAGTATCTTTAAAGAGGAAAAAATTATTAAGTATACCAAAACTAATGGACTGTATCTTTTTTAACAATTCTGATTTTTACAATTTTTATTTTTTATTTTGTAGGTAATTTAGTAAGCTTTATAAATATCATGGGTACAATCAAGAAAAAAAAAATCATACTTTTTGAGTTATTTGCAAATAAATGTTCTTTTCTCGTAACTTTTTCCCCTAAATTTCGAGGATATATGACTATTTTTCCCATCTGAAGGAGAAGAAGATCTTTAAAATGAGAGCTCAATCGTTCAATTTGATGAAGTTTTGGCGTTGCGACAAAAAAAAACTTTTAAGAAAGAATACATAAGATAATTGAAAAATTGACGTTATGCTAGGTATTGACTGCTAAATTATGATCACATATGATACTAAACCCTACTGACATGAGCATTTTTTTTTTATTATAATTATTTCTTAGCTTAGACAAATTTTCAATTTTTATTCATCAGTGAAGATTAGGTCATAACAATAGAAACTCAAAAAGTCTCAATTATTCGCATAGATAATTGTAAAGAAAAGTGCTGTTGAATGTTGAAGTCATAAGATTGGAGACTTCAAACTTGCCCTCAAGAAATATCTTTAGACTTTTCTCTTGCTGTCGTCTCTGTATAAAATATTTAGTTTAAAATGTTTTATTACTAGCTTTTATAAATTTATGTTCATTAAGGCTAAAAGATGTTTGATTGCATCGTTTTTGGCAGTGTATATACCTATCCTTACATATATACTCTCTCAAGTCTTACCCACCCCCAAACTTTAACTTATGTAGCAGTGTTATTTAAACTTTTTAGCTACATATGAACCTTTTTTTATTATTTAAATAGTGCAATCTAAATCTTACATTGTTCTTTATTATTTTCATTCTATTGCAGCTCAAATTTAAGTGATTTTTTTGTTCTCTGCGCAAGTAACTGATTGTTTTTGCTAAAATAGAATTATGTCTTTTAACTCAGAATTATCTTGAGATTCTAATGATTTAGGTAGAAGAATTGCAGAAAGAGCTTGAGGAGATGCGTGAATTAGCCAACAACAGGTTAACTGAGTTGGACAAGCTTCATCAGCAGCACCGCGAGACTCTCAAAGAAGTCGAGAAGTTGAAGATGGATGTAAGTTTGTTTTCTAAATAAATTAATCTATATATATTCAAAAAAAAAATATTCAGTTCGCTCACTGACTTATAAATCACTTTATATCAAACATGACAATACCTATAAAGTTCAAATTTTCTTTTGTAGTTTAACAAAATTATTTCAAAAGCTTAAAATAAAAATGGTTCTCCAAATACCTCAAAAACTCTGGATATGATCCGATTCGTGTTCGCCAACCAAAAAAAACATAACGTAAATACTTTTTAAAAAAAATTTTATATATTAAAATTGTACTTTGTCTGTTATAAGCAGTGTAAAAGTTTTGAATGATTTTTCATATTTGCCATATGAAATTTTGTTAAGACAATTGCAACCCTTTGATCAATTTAACTTTACTACTATTAACTTTACAAATAATGTTTAATTAGTGTTTTTATTTTATTATAATTGTTTTTTAGATCCGACAACTCCCTGAGAGTGTAATTGTGGAGACAACTGAGTATAAATGCCTGCAATCCCAATTCTCTGTCTTGTACAATGAATCAATGCAGTTGAAAACCCAATTAGACGAAGTTAGACACCAGTTGCAAACATCAAAGAACGCTCATCTCAGGCAAATTGAGATGATGGAGGTAAACATTTTGGTATAATACATTAAACCAAATTTTATTAAATTATCAACATCCATCTGAAACTTCGTGAATGGTTTCATCTTATCGTAACATAAGTTTTTATTTATGGCAACTCTCGGTATAGGGCTTTTTAAATCTGCGGATTGGAAAACTTTGTTTAATGAGGTACTAATAAAATCATGAGCATCAGTTTTCCACTTGAATCGTAAGATAATTTGATAAGAAAATCGAGACCAATGGAGACCTACAAAAATATTGAGTCGTTTAGCATGACCTTCTACTCCAATATGTTAAATAACAAGGTTAAATAGATAGGCCCAATATTTTTGTTGACCCCTTTTTTATCAATTTTTTAAATACAATTATCTTCATTGTGGGTTGATGATTGACTGTAGTCGAAATAAAAATGGCAAAAATAAATAATATTTATTTTAACATTTGCCGAAGTTCAGGCCTTCATCAGGGCTGGTCGAAGGTCTGAACTTTGGGTTGAAACGTCGGAAAATGTTAAAATAAATAATATTATTTATTTTTGCCATTTTTATTTTGACTGATCACCCCAACCATCCTTCTCTTCAAAATTATCTTAAGATTTAAGTCGAAAGTAAATGGTTTTTAGTACCTTATTACATTAATTAATTTAATTAGAAAATGGCCTATTTCTGAGAATTTTCATAGATTAAAAATTTGTAGTTTACGATTAGATGAAGCCATTACTAGAAGCTTTGTATGCATATTTATAATTTGATAATAAGGGTTCTGTACTGCGGATTAGAGACTTTTTGGCCTTATTATTTTCAATAATATCGGATTATAGGGTTGAAAATCTGTATGTGAAATGAATTGGTGTTTAAGAAGTGTCTTTTGTGAGGCCTCAAACATTTTTACCCGACCTTCCTCTGTTGACATTTTTTTGTTGTATAAAGATATTTGCTCATTTTTACAGCCCCTCTAAATTGAGTTAAAGAGAGGGTTGAATATTTATTTGAATATTGAATTGATATTAGAGAAGTGTCTTGGGTGTGTGGATGCCTTTTTTTTTCTGAGAGTTTTCCAATTCTGATAAACTAAATTTGAAAGTAAATTACAAAATGTATGAAAACAAAACAAGAGATAGAAATTGAGCTGTTCAGTTGATTTTGAAATTCTATTGATGTTCCATAATTATGCATTATTGCAACAATTGAATCGCAATTCATCTGTTTTCCAAAAAAAAATCAGGAATTGACCTTAATTACTAAGCTAACTTGTTAATGTTACTGTATGTTTTTTTTAATATATTGTTTTCAAGAAAATAATTACCCTTTTCACTTCAAACATCCATTTATTTAAATATGCAACTTTTTTTTATATATTTAATTCTTCAATTATATTTTGAAATCAATATCATTATTATCATGCCAGTTCAGTCTTATCTTATTGTATTCCATCTATTTATTGGTTTAAAAATATTATTTTATTCCATTAGAGTGAAGAGCTGATGGGTCAGAAAAAACTTCGAACTGAAGTTATTCAGTTGGAAGATCTTCTTGCACAAGTCAGGAAAGAATATGAAATGTTGAGGATTGAGTTTGAGCAGAACCTTGCGGCAAACGAGCAAACTGGACCCATCAACAGGGAAATGCGACATCTGATAACTTCTTTGCAGAATCATAATCAGCAGTTGAAGGGCGAGGTACATCGTTATAAGCGGAAGTACAAGGATGCAAATGCTGAGATACCAAAGGTAATTATTTAACATCTTGTTTAGTTTTTAAATTAATTTTTATTTTAATATTTTATATTAAATGTTCTCATTTGTAAGAATGACATATTATGTTTACAATAGTTAAAGAAAGAAATAGAAGATTTACAAAATAAGTTAGCGGCAACCATGCCGGCTGGTGTCGAGAGCAAGGACGGAATCTGTGAAGGAAAAGAAGAAGATAATACCCATAATGGAGAAGGTCCTAAAGTTAAGGAGGAGCCTTCTATCAAAAGGGAGTTTATCGAAGAAGAAATAGAGGTATGCTTAAGAATATTACCTTTTTTGGTTAAGAATATTACAAATTTTGATATAAAATCAGAGGTGATCCGATGATGATCCTCCTTCATCGACATTATTATCCGCCTTTTACTTTCAAAATGGCAGCCGAAAAACCTGCGTTGCTATAGACTGTAGCTCCTATACGAATGTACATATTTCAATAAAACTTCTCTAAAGTCATTTTCTCGACGCCCTTTAAATTTATCTATATAACATACTTCAACGAAAAGAAGCTGGAAAAAAAAGTTACGAGGGATGATAAAATTAAATTCCGAATAATTCAAAAAGTTTATACTTATTTGTTGATATTGTATATAGTTTTTTAAAAGTTTACAAAATTTCCTAAAAAGAAAAAAAAAATCGGACAATTAGGAGCAAAGATATGGTCTCCGGTTTTTTAATATGTTCTACTCCAAATGTTATATCCTTGGTTTGGTTTTTAAATTTTGAATGTGTTACTGAACTAATGCTATTTTTTTTTTAGCATATTACTAATGATTAAAAACAAAAGTTTAGTCCAATAATTGGAATCACCTTTTGTTTATTTTTCTTTGTAACTCTGAAGGTAATGTTACTTTAGATGTATAATTGTTTGGAAATGATAAACCATTGAGAAATTGCAAATTTGCAGTGTTTTTTTTACTGCTATAAAAAAATAGTGACCTCAACATAAAAATATGACTTATGATTATGATTTGGATCTCAAGTTCTTTATTTTCCAAAGTATACATTATAAACATTAATTTTTAGATCTAAAAAAGTTCCTAAATTGTTTATTAGAACTTGGAGAAAATACACTCATATTTATACTTTGTAAATAACTAAATAAAGTTAAATGTTAATAATTGGTTTATGTGGGAATAGCGAATAGCCTTCCTCTTTTATATCGGGGAACTAGGTTATTTACACTCGTGAATATTAAAACAAAACCCCGACACTAGATATATACTTTTTTAGGGTGTTTAACTGTTGTTAGGAATTCGGGAATCTAATACTTTTAGTGACACAGTGAGAAGAAACAATAAGGATATATATATATATATATATGAAATGTGGGACTTAGTAAACACACTTTAAATGAATTGACTCACCTGGTTTGTTATTCTTCAGTTTTGAGGCATATAGGACAACTAAATAAAATGACTTTTCACTCCTGTATAATAAAAAGATTTATTTTAATAACTGTAATAAATGAATATATAAGTCTTATAACTGTAGGCTTGATTTCTTAGTTTTCAATGTAGTATCTCTCTCTTCTGACAACTTCCTTTCTTCCTGTCCAGGCCTAGCGTCCTCTCGCCTCCGTGACCTAGCCTCAAGTGCCTCTCCAGCTGTTGCTAGCTACCTGCTCTGACTTTTTTTCAGCGTCTTCCTTCATCGATTGTTAATCAATATGAGACTTTTCCATGAATAATTTGTCCACTGCATAATTGAGTACAATTCATCGTGCAACCTCACATTCCTATATAATCCTTCCCATTCCCTCACCCAATGTCACATAAAGGAGTAAATACTGGTGGATGTCTACTACAACTGTGTATCCTGTTTGTAATGGAAAATATTTAAATTATATTAAATATTTAATTAAAATTTAGTATAAAAATATAGTAGTCAACTATTATATAACCATCTTTATATTGTTGACTTTTAAGATTGATTTTTCATTGAACTAAATAATTGTAGAATTTAAACCCGTAGGGAGATGACGGTACTGGAGACAAGGAAAAGTGCGGAAGCTCTCCAATAGTGAAGAAGGAGGGTGCGGCAAATATAAAGAAAGAAATTAAGAAAGAGCAACATCGAGACCAACACAGAGCTAAAGATGTGAAACCAGCAGAGTCGGAGCTGGTCAGGGATCTGAAGGCCCAGCTTAAGTTAGTCATTTTATTTATTATTATGAAATTTAATGTTTTTAATTGTTTATTTCAATATATTTGATAGAATCATTAAACAAAAAAAAAAAAAAAGAAAAAAGTAGATACATATTGCCTTCCAGCTTGAGTTATGAGACATCAAAAATAGTTTTTTTTTTTATCAATCAAAGAAAATAGTTAGAAATATCAACTTTTCACTCAATTTTTTTTATGCTGATAGTTCGAATCACATAAGGTGATATATTATAAAATTCATTATAGGCACTTATAACAACTATGTCTGGTTGGGTCCTTGAAAATTTATCTAAGTCGAATTCTGACCTACAGGAAAAAAAATCTAAGGTGATATAACTTCAAATGTTCTTTGTCTGCCTTTTGTGCGCATTTTGCTCTTTTTTTTGTGGAGAGTGAATTAGATTAAGCCGTCAATCCCTGGCCTGGGAAAACCCAGTATAGCCTTAAAGGCGAGGAAGGGGAGGACCCCCCACTCAAAAAACAAAACAAAAAAACTTGACAACCAAATGATAACGAGTTTTATTGAAGTTATGGATTAATATATCTCAGAAACTAAGAGGGAAATGTTTAGCATTTCATCCTCTTTATAATGAGCTATTATTTATAATTCAGTTCATACTTCATCAGTTAACGCAACCATACATCTCTCCCCCCCCCTCTTGCTACCATTGCTTTACTTTGTTCCTGTCACCTAAGACGAAGGTTGTTTTTTTTATCTCTCTTTTTTCAGTTTTCTCTTCTTTTCCTCCTTCCTTTCATTCCTTTTCTCTGTTTTAACTCTTTATTCTATTATACGCTATCAATACATTTTGATAGACTTTACAATATCTCAATTTTCTATTTTCAATATTTTAATTTTACTATGTATTTTCCTTTCTTATATATCTTCATATTCCTTTTTTCTGTATTATATTTTATTCTAAGATCACCATTTTAATACTTACTTCACCTTTTTCGATTATGTTTACTTCATCATTCTACACTTTGTAACATTTATTATTATTTATCTCTTAGTTGTCATTACTATTGTACTATACTCTTAGTTGTCATTACTATTTTCATTTTTCTACCCACTTCATTTTACTTTAATTTTATTTCTTTTTTTTTTTTTACGTACATTATTTATGTTTTCTCATACCTTGTTATCTGGTTCTTTTCTTAGCCCCATAAAGGCCTGAACTTCAGGTCGAAACGTTGGCAAGTGTCAAAATGAATATTATTATTTATTTTGCCTTCTTATTTCTGACTGACCACCCCAACTATTCTTCTCTTCATTATTCATGACAGTCAACAATTAACCCACAATTATTTATAATTTATTATATTTCATATTATTAATCCCGCCTTGTTGATATTTTCACTTTTATTGTGTGGTCCAAAGAACACACTTTAGTTTTTTTTGTTATTTACCTTCAAAGTGATTCAGTGACAATTTCATCTAATTTCCTTCAATTAGGGAGATATAGTTATCACACGTGGATATTTTTTCTGTATATAATTTTCCAAAATATTTTAAAATAAAACACCATATTTTTTACATGTACATCATATTTTTTTACATTTGTTTTTCTCATATAACACCTAAAAGTAGTGAGAAAGCTGTACTATCCTGCTGGAAGTATCTTATTTTTATTTTGTTGCTATATTTTATAGTCTTCTTATTAATATAATGTCTACAGAAAAGCAGTTAATGACCAGAAGGAAATGAAGTTGCTTCTTGATATGTACAAGGGAGTAGGCAAAGAACAACGAGACAAAGTACAGTTGATGGCTGCTGAAAAAAAGTTGAGAGCAGAACTTGACGATCTTCGCCAGCAGCTGAAGAAAGTCCAGGTACAGGTATATACTGCTCCGCTAACTAATCTATATCTAGTCTTAATTATTTCTTAAGTAACTCCTTTTTTAATACAAAACTAATATTGGAATCCGTTTCTATTCACTCAAGTGCTGGTAAGATTTTGGTTGCAATCCTTTATTTTTAAATTGCATGCAGTTCCTGTTTAAAATGTTAGATAAAATATTAGTATTGTATTGCCTAACATTATTATTATCTTTTTTAAATGTATAATTTTTATCATATAATTGGAAAATTCCCAAGGGAATAACTTGAGCCTCTAAAATTCTCTAGTTTGTGTTAAAACGTCTTGTAATGATGAACTGTTTCTTTATTAATTAGTTTACTTGCTTGGTCTTTCATTATATTATATTTCTTCTTGAAATTTTGCTACAGGTCATAATTAAGAAAACAACAGTGTTCAAAGTTTTTTTATTTGAGCATTTCTAGGGTGCTATATCCCCAATTGCTTTCGTTGCATTATTTTTTTAGATGTTATTGGGTTGTCTAGAAAATAATGCAGGATTTTGTTCTAATAAGAAAAAAGAAAGATTTACAACAACTGTTTTATTTAATCATAATAGTCTCCACTATTATCAATATATTTCTGCCAACGTGTTGGCACCTTTTTCATTCTCTCGGAATAGAATTTATCTTTAGAATTGATAAACTCCAAAAATGCATTTTCTAATTCCTTTTTTCATTAAATTTTTTGTCGCGTAAGTAGTGGTCCTGGTGTCTAAAAAAATGATAGCCTGTAGGCGAGGGGTCCGGAAAGTAGGGTGGATGTGGGAGAGTTTCATATCCAAGCTCCAACAGTTTTTGTGACAGCACTAATGAGACATTGGGCCAGGCGTTGTCATGTAACAAAATGGACCCCTTCCAATTGAGCAAAGATGGCTTCATTATTGTCAATTTCTGATGCATTGTATTAATTTGGTTACAATACGATTCGGCATTAATGGTTTCTCCAGGATTTAAGAAGCTGTAGTGTATCAAACCAAATAAAGTCCCCCAAACAGTAATTATCACCTTTTTTTGATGAGTTGTGGGCTTTGAAAAATGTCCTACTGCTTCTCCTTTGTCGAGGCACTGTCCAGAATGTCTAATGTTATCGTAAAGTATCCACTTTTCATCACAAGTAACAATTCTGGACAGATATGGATCGTTTTTGTTTCGGTAAAAAAGTGTAGCACAAACTTCATAACGTTGGTTTTTTTTGTGGCTGTTTAATGTGTTTGGAACCCAACTTTCAAAAATTTTTTACCTTTGCAATTGCCTTAAGATTGTCATTGACAGTCGATTTGCTAGGGTTAAGTTTTCCTACAAGTTTTCTTTAAGGACAGTTCACTGTTAAGTTTGTATCGTTTCTTGTGAATTATATCTTTTAGCTTACTTATCTTTTTATAAATCATATTATTGTATATCCAAGATTTTGTGTAGTTATTATTCTTCAATCTATTAGAATATTTTTAATTTCGAATTCAAAAATTTAGTAACCGAAATTGTCATTTTAGATACTGATGAATGGGACATACATAGTATCTCCAAAATGCGCTGATAAAAATGACTTTCAATTGTGATCTTTAAACAAATTTTAAGGAGAAATAGATTACTGTTTCTTGTTTGTGTATTTTTGGACTATGGTATGTTATGTTTGATTAATGTAGATTTTTTCCTGATGATGCCTGAATTGAACAAGCATTGTTGGGTTAATTATTAACATGCATTTCAGAGGCCTCAAGACTTTAAAAGTAATTTTCCAATTATATCCTTACAATTAATTTATGTGTATTTTTGAGTTTTTAATCTTATATACTAAAAGATGTAATATTTCTGATGAAAAACCAATATTAGCTGTACCTAAAATATGGGTTGAAACTTCAGCATTTAATTTAATTAATAGTTCCTACGATTTTATGTTTTTTTTTTATTGTCACCCGACCTTTTGTTTTACTATACCATCAAAACAAACCAATTTTCATTTATTTGACCCTTAAAATCAAATTAATTTAGTTTTACCCAAAACATGACTAGAGGTAGTCAACCCAAATTAGATTTTTATACTCTTTTCCTATTTCTTGTCCTATAAACAAAATTTTATTAATTATTTAGTGATTAATTGTAATTTTTAATTTCGCAGGGCAACTACTTCTTCAGAAAGTTGAAAAAATATCTCCTTTAAAATATTTTTATTTTATTTGATTGGGCAAGATAACAACTCTGGGTTACCATCACTTATTCTTACCTTTTGAAAATTTACATTATAGAATAGAGTTACTGAAGTATTTAGGTAATCTCTTGTTAATACAAACTCGATGGGGTACCATATCCATTCTTTTGTGTTGAAAAAATTCCTATTAACCTAGAGCTCATCTTATAGAAAAAAGTTTGATTTATCTGGTTATCGAATAATTTCTCTATAAATAATTTAATAGTGCAAAAACAGCTCATTATAAAAAGGATGGAATGCTGAAAATTTTCCTCTGTTACAGTATGATGTCCGATTTAAGTTTTTGAGATATTTCAATCCTAAAGTTTAAAATTCTCTTTATCATTTAGTTCGTGACACTCTTTAAGCCTCTCTGACATGGTCACGTGTTAAGATAAAATTTTGAATAATAGCTCATTACAAAGAGGGTGAAATGCTGAACATTTCCCTCACTTACAGTGTGCAGGTCTGAGATATTTTAATCCAAATGTGAAAATTAGTCAACTAGAGCTGACTACACGAATAAGCATTACATAGCTGAGCCTAACTGACCCAGTCCCCACAAAATAAAACACTAAGTGCGCTTTAAGATGTTTTCACTTCGATAAATTAATTAACTCTTCACAAATAACAGTAAACAAATTGAAACTAATAACGGTGAAATGTTAATAAATCACACTTATTACACAAAAAAAATTTACCTTTATCCTTAAAAGTTGAACACTAAATCATTTGTGATAAGAGGGTAGATAATACAACCATTAAAAGGTACTATTTCGCTAGTACTGCCCCTGGCAGCAACTGCTATTCCATTAAGCCAACCGCTAATGCTTGTGTATTTCGCTGAAACTGCTCATGGTCGCAGACAAATCTTATCACTTTAGCGCTCTAGTTTGATCATCATCATAGTCATATCCCTCTTTACCGCCTATACAGTGTGAGGTTGCTTCTTGTAGAGCCTGGACCAGGTGGACCTTTCCAGTACCAGCTCTCGTCTCCTGTTCCATTCCAAACCTCGCTTCTGGAATGCATCTTGCACGCTTTCTTCCCAGGAGATTCTGGGTCTTCCTCTTGGTCTCCTACCCTGCTTGCGAGTCTCATATGTCTTTTGTGCGACTCTGTTCCGGTCCATACAGAGAAGGTGCCCAAACCATCTCAACTTGTGTTCTTCTATAATGGTTTCGACCGCTTTGGCGTCGAGATTGGCGCGGATTGTAGTGTTGCGAATTCTATCTCGCCTAGTCTTTTCCTCCACTTTTCGCAGGTATAGCATCTCTAGAGCCTGGATCTGGCTCCTGTGTTTTGAAGTAAGTGTCCAGGACTCGGAAGAATACGTCAGTATAGGAAGGAATACTGGTCTGTGGACCATCATCTTCGTTTCCTTGGTCACCTCTTTTCGGTTCAGAAAGCCTTTCCTAACCGAGCCGAACATTCTTCCAGCAGCTCCTATTCTCTGTCTTACCTCCTCGTCAATATATCCATTTTCGTTGAGTTGGGCACCTAAGTATTTGAAACGCTCTAGTTTGATTTTATTTTAAATAAAAATGTTAGCCTTACATTTAATGGTTTTTATTTGTATTTGAAAGATAGCAGTGAATTTTATGGCAGAGTTTCGATCTTATTTAATTAATACATGCCATTTTTTCTGGTAGTTCAAGTTTAATAACAAGGTTAGGTTATTATGTTATGAAATGTTAACAATTATCCACTTATTACTTCTCATCTTCTACAAAATTATTGTTTCTTGTAAAATTTTGAATATAAAATTTAAATATTCATGGTGTTATAGGTGTTATAGCTTCATTGCTTCAGAAGTGGTCAGAAAGGAGCAGTATAGATATGACGTCATATCTAGGTTCTTTTCTATTTCACTAAAGTAGTGCTCAACTGCCAGCGAGTAGCTGCCGTGGGCAGTACCAGCGAATAGTACCTAAAGTAGTACGGAAATTTCTGCAAGTATTGAAACGATCCATCTAAATATTTCAAATAACTTAAGTTATTTTTGAAATCTAGAGCCTTTATTACATAAATTAATCAATTCTAAAATCTCTACAAAATATATAGAGCAAATTTTCTTTAATCGGATCAAGACCAACTTGCTTAACTCGAACCAGAAAATTAGGTTCTCCATCCGTTTTGTGTTAATGAGAGAATACTGTAATAAAAAGTGAAATAGGGAAGAACTATTTTACTTATTAAAAAAAAAAAAAGAGTTATTATTATTCGAGTCAATAATACTTTCACTGAATACCCTCGAAAGAGAATTCAGATAAATAAATTTCTCTTCAAAAATATATGATATTATTGTTTTCAGGAGAGTAAAAGGGAAGAGAGGAAAAAGCTAGCGGACGAGGATGCCCTCCGTAAAATAAAACACTTGGAAGAACAGGCTTACCAACTGCAGAAGCAGGTTGCTACTCACAAGCAGGCAAGGATTTCCTAATGAGCAAGGCTAGGGACCTCCTCTCCTCACGTACCCGCTTTCCATCCTTCTGTTACTAACATTTCTCTTCTTTTTACACAAATCTTTTTCACTTTTGTTTAACTTTTTATTTAGCTAAGTGCATAACATCCTACCACAATCCTTTTAGGGAGTGTGTTGGCAGGAGGAAGAGGCCCTACTCAACGAAATGGAAGTGACAGGGCAGGCATTCGAGGATATGCAGGAGCAGAACTCTCGCCTTATCCAGCAGTTGCGAGAAAAGGATGATGCCAACTTCAAGCTGATGTCGGAGCGTATCAAATCTAATCAGCTGCACAAGCTTTCCCGTGAAGAGAAGGAAGCCCTTAAAGAACAGGTATCTATACAGTGTTACCACCATCCATTTATATATTTTTTTAAATTTCTCCTTTGGTCATTCAGATATTTCATTTTTTTTCCCTCAGAACGAACTTAAAAATCTCTCGTGCTCAAATATATTCAAAACTAGCTTTAGTCGGCCAAGCGCTGCTGTGGCTTAGCCTGACAAGATGAAAAAGAAAGAAAATATAAAGCACTTATGAGTAAATTAGTAGCAAAGTCAGTCAGATATTTCATTTTTTTTTTTTTTCCTCAGAACGAACTTAAAAATCCCTCGTGCTCAAATATATTCAAAACTAGCTTTACCCGGCCAAGCGCTGCTGTGGCTTAGCCTGGCAAAATGAAAAAGAAAGAAAATATAAAGCAAATATGAGTAGATTAGTAGCAAAGGACAACTGTAATTTTTAAAAATTTAGGAAACAAATTTGTCTGTAAAATGACTTTAATTTAAACTAATTCTAATGATTTTTTTTCTCTTGATTCAAATTGAACATTTGAGGAGAAATTATAAAATTTTCGATTAATCCAAAAAAACAATGCTTTTCCAACCTTCGGTAGTGAGGAAGCAAAAGGAAACAACCTTTTCTGAAGAAAAAGCAGTAAATGTTTAAAACTCTATAACTGCGCAACGAACCATCCGATTTTGATGATTTTTTTTTTTTATTTTGTCAGAAATTCAGCAATCTTTCATAAAAATATAGGTATTATCGGTCAAAAATTGTGTACTTTTTTAGCTATCGGCAAATAGAATATTGAATTCATCATACAAATTTTTCAGCTTGTTTTCGGGAAAGTATGTTATACACATAAATTAATAAAAGGGTTTCAAGGGGAAGACTTTAGCCAAGTTTCGTTAAAATCGGTAAAGCCGTTGCTGCGCTACAGTTTAAGTGACACATTTTTTTGCGGCTTTGAACAGAAAACATTTACATTTTTATTTTTTTTTACACATATAAAATTATCGTAAGACAGAAGTACTATGCCAGAAACCTTCCCAGGAGTGTATGGAACAACTTCCCAAAGTTTCATGGTGATCGGTCGAATGGTTTAGTAATGCACTGAGCACAAACAAACAGACATACATTCATTTTTATATATATAGATAATACGTATATGACTACTATAATATTCCATAATCAAGTGCCAATGATAATGAAGGCTGCTAAAGACTTAGTTATTTTTATTTGTTTAAGCATTCTTAATTATTGTAATGTAAATATTACATAGTGATTTTGAAAGTGGCGCGAAGGCAGTGACGTCACAAACTACTGTCAAAAATGGACAAAGACAGATGAAAGGGTAAGCAAGTGCCATATGTTAAGTCAATAGTTAGCCAGCCGGCTAGGAAAGAGGATCGAGAGAAGGAAATATGACTAACAAGTAGTGAGTGTCAACAAAGGAAGAATAGAAGATTGTAGAAGTTGAATACAACAATACAGTGGAAGATTCACTGCAGAACAGGGTGAGTGAAATATAAATAGTGACAGTTCGAAAGTGCGCAAAGATTAGACCCTGACAAAAGAAGGGAAATTCATAAATATGTTATATAAAATTAATGTATGCCTTTGTATTATATATTTGAGGAATGTATGTTAGTTGTCAACCTGAGAAATAATTATTGTGTAAAATAAATATAATTTGATTCGGAAACTGTTTTGTTTACTTTTTAAAGTAAACGTATCATAAAAATATATATATATATAAATTTTAATTTTTATATTGCTGTAATCTATGCAGTTAAATATTAAATTATATCATCGCTAGCATTTATGAAATCCGGATATGTATGTTTATGTATAGAAGCTTGTTCTTACCTTTAGCAAAGGTCAGCTGCACGCTCGGGGTTCATTTGATCTCTATTAATAACAAATTATTTTTGGTTACTTCTCCTTTAGATAATAATAATAATTATCAAATTCTTTCAATTTTTTATATCAGGTTCCATTACAACGAGATGATTAATTATTTCAAATTTAAAAAAAAATTAAAGGTACTTTAGAGGAAAAAATATTGAAAATTAGACATTTAAGCCCTGATAGAGAACATTAAAGAGAATAAAACCTACATTATATCAAAAGACGTTTAATTTTACCCTGATGTTATCAATTTAATCGAAATTGTTTGAGCTGTTTTCAAGAAAATCGTAAAAATGTCTATAATCAACCTTAAATATGCAATTTCAGTTTTGACTTCGTTTTTTATCTAGACTATTCACACACAGAGACCTTTTTGCGATACTTGGTTATTTACAGTCAGAGGACCTTAAGACGTGTATTTACATTGCAAACTTGAATTTTCACGATTGCTATACTTTCATTTGCTATATATTTTATCTATAGGTAAGTGAAAGTAAATATAACAGTAACCGATATGACTTTTACTTGTCCTTTTACTGTGGCAGATATTTTACCAGCGGTTCTTAAGTGGTTATTCAATCTTTTTCTCCTCTCTTTGAGAAGTCCTAACCTTTCCTTTACCTTGATCACAAACTACACACTCAGTTGATCAGCATATTTTTATATTTCTTTTGGAACCATATCAGTCACTATTTTTTCTTCTACTTCTATAACGCTATCCTCTCTTTTCCATAGAAGGTCAGGATACTCAATTGTCCGCTCGAGTGCTATTTACCAAGTCTGGACGCTCACCCCTTTGTTGTTATTTTTTCCTCCTGCACGTTCTGGAGACTTATCTCTCCATTTGTGTTTACCGTCCAGCGATGTCTTAAGGTTCAGAGAATGGTGCTCATCAGAGTGTTGTAGAATGTTTTAAAGTATCAGTCTCGATATTTAATAGCCACATCGAAGTGGGATCCATTCAAAAGGTTTTGATACTATGTGTTCTTATCGAAGGAAGCTAGTCGACTGTTCTACATATCACGGTCGGCACAAATAAAACATTTATATAATGACTGCGTCCTGAATATTTATTACTCATGATTTGTGTTCTTATAGTTTTGTGAGAATCGGAAAGTTGATGAGTTTGGCACAACAAATGAAGTTAGTTAAAGATATAGAAAGAAGATAACAGTAGAGATTGAGCCTGCTACGTTACCGCTACCTTTACCTTAATAATTGCGTTTAACAAAAATAAAAGAGAGAGACAATCATTGAGAAGTACCAACTGCAGATATCCTTCAAATCCTTTCCAGGTAGAGATGTAATTACATGCTCTACGTAGTTTGATTTTTCTAATTATAACGTAACATCTGATTTCTATTTTTTGTTAAGTTTTATATTCGTTCATAACAATTTTGGATAGGTTGAATTTTCAGTGCAATAATTTTTGTAATCATTTGATGGATTCATACCAGCCTGGCATCCAACAACTGGCTGAATGGTGGTTGACAACACTGAATACCTATAGGCTATGTATTAAATATTATTATTAATGTATTATATTGAAAAAGTTATAATATAAATCTTTTTTTCTTTTTTTTTATATATATACACTCAATTTTTACCTAATTTTCTAGTAATATTTTTTATGTTTTCTATAGGTGACGACCCTTTCTACACAGGTTGAAGCCACAAATATTGTAGTACGTAAACTTGAAGAAAAGGAACGAATATTACAGAACTCTTTAGCTACTGTAGAAAAAGAGCTTGCTGTGAGGCAGCAGGCTCTGGAGATGCACAAACGGAAAGCAATCGAGAGTGCACAATCAGCTGCCGACCTTAAACTTCATCTGGGTTAGTATCTTGTAATGCAGAAATTATTATTGTTATTCATTTTGTTAAATGTTAATGTCACTGAGTAATAAAGCACTGTGCTCTTATCATCCTGGTCTGGGTTTAAGTCCAGCTCCTATAATACGTATCGTATGACCTACCAAAGGCACGCTTTACTCTTAAATAATTAACACTAGTAGACACGTGCGAAAAATATTGCTATCAAATGCCAGATTAATAAGAAAAGAAAATAATGCAACGTATCAAAAGATAAAGAAATCAAATGTTACTTTATCGATAAATATAATAGACATAGAAAACAAAAATGAATTTAAATCTACATTTTTGTTTGGAACCAACATGTTTACAAATTTCAGTAAGCTGTATCTTTGCTAAAAATTGTCTGATTTCAATGATTTTTTTTCCTTTTGTAGGAAATTTAGTAATCTTTTATATAATCACGAGCATAACCAAGGGAAAAGTGTGTAATTCTTAAATTATTCACAAATAAAGTTTGTTTTCTTTCATTACTTGTTTGCCTGAATTTTTGTGGTGATTAGACTATTTTGCCTGCCTGAAGAAGAAGGAAGTTGGTGACTAATCTTGAGATTTGATGAAAAATTAACGATGATATGGCTTGCCGATAAATAAAATAAACTCCTCCTCCCTCGATCATAGAGGCCTCAAGTCGTCGAAATGAGACATGTATTCAATGACAGTACTACAATTAATGTAACGTTGTGTGGATGCAAAACCTATGACTTGCGTTATCTCGAAAATAGTATGTTTTTGGGCTTAAAAACGCAGGATCCGATAGTTCCAGAGGAACTATCCGGGTCTTGCTGTACGCATCAAAATCTTCAAGATCCAATTTGTCCCTTATCGATCTACAGACCTACCACCGTTCAAGTATTGAAGCCTAGCAAAATGTTTGTATCGACTTTATTTATTTTAGAAAGAAAAATAAAAGTGGAGAATACGATTCGCTAACCCTCCATGAAATTCTGAATCCAACGATACCCCATTCATGGTATTTGATCATGACAGGAGCTCATATTTGGTACAAAACCGATTTCGAGCCTCACTGTAGTAATATATGTATGGATAAATTTTATTCGTCTAAAATAAAATTTAATTTTAATATGTTTTCACCGTTATAATATGCTTCCGATATTTTAGAGAAATACCATGCACAAATGAAGGAAGCCCAACAAGTGGTCGGAGAAAAAACTAGTGCCTTGGAAGCTGAGGCTTACAAAACAAAAAGACTTCAGGTAATCTAACATTTATCATTAATCAATAATATAATGATATTAAACTTGTTTACATTAATTCCCTGAATCTTTCTTCTTGGTCTTTCTGTTTATTATTCTTATTTATTTTTTTATATTGAAAACTCATTTATGATACTTGGTAAGTTAACAGTATACTGTAATGTTATAGTTCTTTTTTAAAGCTTTTGGCCGAGTGTACATCATCTGTACCATTTCAGTAAACAGCCGTTATAGCAATGAGCAGTCAATTCATGTGTCGTATGAACACACAACGAAAGTGATTAGTCAATTGGTTCTTTGAATTTCTACTACTCTTTCAACTCCTAGAGGGAGGACGTTTCAAAATGACACCCATTGGAAGGAGAACCAAAGAAATAAAAATTGGATTGTTTGAAAACGGTTTGTTCCAAGCCAACATGAGGCTGCATATTTTTCATAGATCGAACAACTGTCCCAAAGTTGGAAGGAAGCTTTGAAATGGCTGACAAAATTCAAAATCAATTCTTCAAATTTCATGGAAACTGATACTCCTATGTAGATAATTATTATAAATTACGTTATAGTGCATTCGTTTGGGTTGTTTGAAAAATTATGCAGAATTTTGGTTTTAAAAGAAAAAAGAAAGATTTACTACTATTATTTGATCAAAATAGTCTCCACTATTGTCAATATATTTCTGCCAACGTGTTAGAAACTTTTCCATTGCCTTGGAATAGGATTTCCCATCTTTAGAATTGATAAATTCCTAAAGTACAATTTCTAATTCTCTTTGTCCATTAAATTTTTTGTCATGTAAGTAGTGGTCCATGTGTCTAAAAAAATTAAAATCCGTAGGCAAGAGGTATGGAGAGTAGGGCAGATGTGGCAGAGTTTCATATCCAAGCTCTAACAGTTTTTATGACAGCACACATGATACATTTGGACAGTCGTTGTCGTGCGACAAAATATTCCCCTTCCGATTGACCAAAGATTTCTTCATTATAAAGATTCCAAGCGAAGGTCACTGAACAGTAACCATCAGCCTTTTTTGATGAGTTATTAAGGGCTTTAAAAAATGTCCTGCTTCTCCTTTGTCAAGCCACTGCGCCACTAATCTTATTGTGAAGTATCCACTTTTCATCATAAGTAACAATTCTGGACAGAAAAAGATCTTTTTGGTTTTAGCAAAGAAGTGTAGCATAAACTTCATAACGCTGGTTTTTTTGGCGGTCGTTTAATGTATGTGGGACCAATTTTTCAAGTTTTTTTACCTTTCCAATCACATTGAGGCGGTCATCGACTGTTGATTTGCTAAGGTTAAGTTTCCCTACAAGTTCACCAACAGTTGTTATGGGGTTATCTTCCACTAAAGCCAAGAACATCGTCATCAAGAGAAGAAGTCCTTCCACAATCTTGTTTATCTTCAAGGTTGAAGTCTCTCTTCCGAAATTTTTTGTGCAGTGCAATCCATTAATGCTGCTCTCGCCCCAGACGTGATTGATGTTTCTGCCTGTCTGGGCCCCGTTCCGTCCGAGATTAAACTCGCAAAACTAAATTATACAAAAATCACACATTGTAATCTTAGTAAAGACTGAATTATTTCTAAGCAACGAAATGCTACAGAGGTAAACAAACATTATCGTTTAGAAGAGGATTAATAAGTGTTGACATTCATACAAGTGAACAATCCAGTTAACTTAAATAATTTATTGTATAGAGAGGTATTTTAAAGAAAACTCAAAATCCTGCATTATTTTCCGGACAACCCAATATTATCTTTAATTTGAGCCCTTGTAGACTATTTCTTTTTCAAAACACAAGAAATTACCACTAATTTAGTAAACAATTTTTACAGCGAATAAACTGTTTCTAAATATAAATACTGACAAATAAATAATTCATTATCTAAGAATAGGTCAAAATAGTTAGTAATTCATGAACCATTTATCAAAAAGAAGATGGAGGAAGCACTGCAGAGAGACACTGTCATGAGAGAAAAAAGAGGAATCAAGTTTGGGACGTGAACAAGGGATGTTCTGCGGACAACTCTACTGGAGCGATTGTCAAGAAAGAAGATGGAGTTCAAGTCATTGTACTACTGAAATGTTATAGAACTTTAAACTATTATTCAGTATTAAACTAATTTATTGTTGAAATAAGTTAGATGCTCATTTTCATTTAATTTTTCTTACTTGGCTCAAACATCTTTTATTTAGACAACAGAAGATCGACAAAGCCAGGTGAGTCCAATTCATTCAATGTGTCATCCATCCCATGATCTCATTTTTACTTATTATTTTTACGACACAATGTCACTTAAGAATTAGTTCCCCGAAGTTCCAACTGCGGTTGCCACCCTCAAAAAGTTCTATCCAGAGCCCGGGTTTTGTTTTAAAATAATTTTACCTTAAGGTTGTAAATCCTAAAAGGTTAATATTTGCTGTGCTGACTGGTAAACATCCGAGAGATAGACCGAAGCCAAGGTGGGAAGATTTCGTTAAGGCTGATATGAAGGGACTGGGTTTGGACAGCAACCGGCGGAGGGAAGTGTGTAGACAGCGGTTGGTGGTGTCACCATCAAGCCTTTGGGTTTCGCTAAGGCTTTTATTATTATTAAGATTTTAAATAACCAAGTTCCCCGCATAAACAAAAGGTTATTTACAGTACTATGAAGTAATTTATAATAGTTACCTTCATAAGACTAGCAGTTTCCAGGATATTTGCTGAAATAAAATCACAAAATGGCGATTTCTTGTGTTTTGAAAAGAACTTGTTGTTTTTGAAAGACTATTTCTAGAGAACTATTGGACATATAGAGCTCTACTGTGGCTCAGGTTGAAGGTGATGAAATTCACTACTAAATAATGTATATTATGATAATTATCTTCGTAGACCAAGTTGTTTTCATAGTATTTGTAAAATTTAATGATTAGGCAAAAACAAAAACAAAAAAAATTGGATTAAGAACTTTGCTGGTTCGACATTCCCTCCCAACTTTTCGGCAGATGTTTTTTGATATCTGAGAAGTGTGCTGTCTTTCTCATGTTGTCTTGACCCTATATTATTGATTACTATATATTACTGTTGTAACTTATTATTTTATTGTTATCCTTTAAATAATCATTTTCGATACAGGAGGAGATAGCGCAGCTGCGGCGAAAGACTGAGCGAATGAAAAAGATTGAATTGGCTGGTACGTTGGATGAAGTTATGATGGAAGAAATTAGGGAGTACAAAGAAACATTGACCTGTCCCTCGTGTAAAGTAAAGCGGAAGGATGCTGTACTTTCTAAATGCTTCCATGTATTTTGCTACGACTGCTTAAAGACCCGATATGAGACTCGACAGAGGAAGTGCCCGAAATGTAATGCAGCATTTGGAGCTAACGACTACCACCGCCTATACCTCGGTTCTTAGCCCTTTGGCTACTGTATAAATGTTTCGCTAGTAATTAATATTATTTAATAGGCACGCCATTTATAGGGTTTTGAACATGCATTAAATATGTACAATATATATATAAATATTTTATCGATTATATTCATAATAAAGTGGTACATAGATCATCTGTCTTAATTATTGTGCATACGTGGTGTAAGAGGACTAGCAAAATTTGAATAAATGAAATTATAATTATTAACCTAACGCATCAGTTTAAATTAAAATAAATATGAAATGTATCTACAGCTGCTAAAAATGCTCTGTGATTAAGAAGTTGAACCATCAGTCTAAAAAAACAAAACATTTAGAAAAACTCATACATTCCTTTTCTGTTTATTTATTACTTTATTTTTATTGCAGTTTTAAGAATTAAATTATTTTTTTCTTAATATTTCTGATTTTTCAGTTAGTAGTCCTGTCCTGCTGCCTTTTTTTTATGTTAACTACGATTTATGAATATTTATTTATTTGATATTCATTATGAATTGATATTCTTTTTATGTATGTTACTCATTATACAATCAAGAATTATAATATTTAATTGTTTGAGTCTTAGTGTATATTATGGATGTGGATCAGTAAATATAACTTTTTTTTTCTCATACTGAATTGTGTTAAAATTGAGGCCTATATGCGAAGATAAAGTATTATGTCTTTGTAAATTTTGTAATTTATTTAATTGTTTAATACTGAGTTTGCCTTATATTGACTTATTGCAATATTTATAAATTATAATAGAAATTTATATATAAATATATATTGTGCATTGGCAAATTTTAAAATATTCATGTATAAATTCAGAAGTATTTAAATGATAATTTTGTTAACTTCAATTCAATGATTTTGTTTATGGGCAGTTTGCTTTTATTTAATTTAACTTATTTTTGTATTCTTATTTTCTTAATTTTAATTTAAATTAAACTTTCATTTTACAAAAATTATATCGTCGGTTTGTTGCAAAAACTCATAAGTGACGTTTCATAATTTTGAATCACTAAGAACTTTTATCAATTTTCCTTTTATTAAATCAGAAAATTGTGACCTTTTTTTGACTACATTTGATGTATAAAAATGTCTTCCCTTTCAATTTTTTATTGCGGTTATGATTTCGCTTTCAAATTATATCAAATGACGTTTGTACCAATCCATTACAGGGGCTGTGTAAACCTACTTATTACCTTTTTATTATCTTTTGAATTTACTATTTTCAAATTAGATTATTGGGGAAGGTTTTAGGTTTATTACCATTATGCCAAGTTCTAAATTATACCTATCATTTATGGTGAAGTTCCATAAATTTTCCTTCAACGGTTTAAAACAAACCATTGTCATACAAAAACACTATAAATCTTAGTTTAAAGCATAGATGGGCATAATCATAATCAGCGATTATGATTATGTGATAACAATTATAATCAGGTAATTGTGTCATTTTTGCTATATTTATAGTGCTGGTGTATCAAGTATAAAATTGGTGTGGTCACAAAGTTTTATTAATAAAGAAATCAAACTAAAGACTTTCGGTTAAGTCGATTTTTTATTTAATTAGTCCTGTTGTTATTCACTTAATCGAATTTTTTTATTTATTTGCTTATCATGTGTATTAAATAACCCATACTTTACAAAGAGGTGAGTGGTAGAGTATTGAGGCTTCCAATGCTCAAGGGTCCAGGTTTGAGTCCGGCTGATGGCAGATAAATTATTTATTCTGTTTTATCGGCCGTGAATCGACCCTGGGGTCGAGACAACCTCCTGGGGGCACACCCAGCCTCTATGAAGTGGGTATCCTTAATTAAGTAATTAATGAAGGAAACACGACCCCTTTGATGGAATAGTATAATTCATTCTTAGTTACCTACTAACCTCAAATTTATCAGCTGACGCTACATGGTCAATCAGGAATGAAAGTCTTAAGAATGACTTCGGATGGTCTCTAGATTTATCAGTAGGACTGATGTCATACTAGTTTTGTTTACGTTGTGATACAAAGCAGTTTGAATCTGTTGCATTGCCTATTAATTATGTCTTTGATTGAAAAAAAGATTGTTTGGCCATTATTATTTATAATATTAAGAGAGAAGTAGATCTGTAATAATTACTTCATAATGTCTGAAAATACTTTTTATTAGTAAAATATCTAGTTTTCATTTTTAAAAATTTTTTTTTTAAAGATGTTTTATAAACATATAGAGAGGCAAAAACTGTCCATTTTAAATGGAAATTTAGGAATATGATTGTGTAATTAGGTTAGTCTCTTCTCCATTTCTCTTGATTGAAACTTGGATTTCAAGATTTATAAAAATAGACCAGTACATCAATCAATCTATCAATTAGAATGTCATTCCAACTGACCATGTAGGATCAGCTTTAATCAATCCTAGATTTCTTGAAGGAAAATGACTTCACATTTTCATTTAATACATTGATGTATTCATTATACTTACTTGCTTTTTATCGTGTACATAACAATACTACTATGTCTCTGAAATACTAAATACTATGGTATTAAACATTTTCTATCTTTCCTAAAAATTAATTCCAATAAGGAATCTTTTTTTTTTTTTTCCATTTTTTGTGACTTATGTATATATAATTAGAATTAAATATATCAACAGTTAGCTGCCCATATCTCCTTTCTGCAAATGAAGTATTTTATAGGGAAAAAAATTATATAATTCTACAATCAGTCCATTCAGAAACAACGAGCTAGTTTGTAGCAGCTTTTCAATAAATTTAAGCCAAATTGGACTTGCATACTTTTTGACTTCTTCAAGCATTAATACAACTCTTGTATTAATGTATCAAGTTGTAACGTTGACTGATGGTTCTTCTTTGAAATCGTTTTATTTTGTTTTAAATTATTTATTTTACAAATAAAGAGGGTTTAAGTTTTATTTTATCGATATTATCATTTAGTTATATAGCAATTTTAATTAATTATTTTGTGTGGTATCATTCCTATGTATTTAAGAAATTTTCTTTTTATTGACTTCTTCCATTTTTTATTTTTGAAAATTCAATATATTTTAGTAACTTCTGATGTCCATCTTTTGAATGTTCAACCAGATCTGTTTAATTTTTAATTACTGCAAGTTTTTAATTTTTCAAAGGCAATCTAAAATTAATTTACAGTATTATATTTAATTATAGCGAATTAGTTAAATATCGTTAAGATAATTTTTTTCTTTTTCCAGTTCTTGGAAAATATAGTATGGTAAAAATATAATTTTGTAGTTGATTTATCTCTAGAAATTTGCCTAAGTAAATAACACAGATTTATTTCCTTTCACATATTTCGGATGTGTATTGAAAGTCAAGATTATTTTAAAATACAATCATTTTCTATTTTAAGTAGATTCTCGGGCTGATACTTACCATTTGTTAATATTATTTTTGTATTCAAGATACTTGTTAAATAACTTAATCATAAATATAATCTTTTACATGAATTAATTTACTTGAATTTTGTTTTATTTAATTTAATATTTTTTTTCTCTTTTCAAGAAAACAACTTATCTTTACAATTAATAACGACTTGTTATACTCTAAAATTTAACTGAAAATATTTATCAATTATCCTATTATCAAACTTAGACTGTGATATTTTTTACTTAATTGTTTCACATTGTGACCAATTATGGCATATTTCTCATGAATTTATCTTAATTTATTTCTCTTTCCCTCTCTGTTAACCTAATCAAATTTATATCACCTCTTTATTTATTATTTTAATTTCAAACAAATAAATTGTAAAAATATATTATCTGCAATTATGAGAGGGATAGAATGTAATACATTTTATGATTAATTTTTTTGTATAGTTTTATACTAAATGAAGGTCAACTGTTTTTCTTATTTTTAGTTATTAAAAAGTGATAGAGAAAAAAAATTCTTGTAAGCCTATTGTTAATAAATACTTTTAACTATACGATATTTGGCAACCCATAATTACAAGGTTGCCTCATACCATTCATTCTCTGTATCTATCATTATAATCTAGATTTTAAGATTAACTTTTTTTTCTTCTCTATTTATTTATTTTTATGTGATGTTTATTAAGACTTTTATAAAAGGCTTTGAATAGTTTTGTATAAAAATTTAAATTAAAAAAAAAGTATAATAAAAAAAAGCTTTAATTGTAATTATCAAAAACAGAAATATAATTTGATTCTGTTGTTGTTTTATAAATAATTTTAATTTTCCTCATCTGGCTATAAACTTTGTTTAAAACTTGCTTGACCACGATGAATTAGCAGCCTGAAGGCGAAATTATGTGGCACAAAGTTAAAATTCACATTCTGTTTTTCCTTACTCTCTGATATTACAAAATATATGAATGAATGAATGAAAACGTGTTTATTATACTTTTAAAAAAATGTTACAAAGTAAAATATATATATATATAAAAGCAACAACACATAGACAATGGAAAATTTCGTCTGTCGAGGTCTGTTTGTAATTAATAATAAATATTCATTACATTTATAACTAAAATAAGTGAGTAATAATATATCTACAGTATTATTATATATTTATACATCCGTTCTAGCAATTTTCTTCTTCACTGATTCATTTGTTTAAATAGATTTTCAAAAAACAAACATCAATACTTGATAAATCCAATAAATAAGAAATTTAATTTCAACAACAATAATAATAACCATCAAATACAAAATACAATAAAACAAACGTTATAATAAATAAACACAATATTGTATCAATAGTTTACTATCTGACCAATTAAGATCTTTGCAATGTGGCCTGCAGTACATAATTACTTAAGGCTTTCCAGTTAAAACCCTTTAAGAAACCAAATAATTCTTCCGAAGAACAGGTCCACTGCCCAAAACATTTCTCTCTTAACTCACTGTACATGTGACAAGTTCCCAAAAAGTGAATGATATCCTCTTTTTCTTGAGAGTTACATACCGGACAGCAATCGTTCTGCACCATCCATGGTTTTACGCTTAAATCGAGCAATTCTGTCCTATATCAAAAAATTTACCCTGTAGTCACAATATCAAACTTATCATTTAGATAAGGTTTAACAGTTACATGTGTTGTGAGTTGGTAGGGATCGGATGTGTTGTGCTCAGTGCTATAAAGCTAAGTTTATTCTGTTTGGAATAGTTACTAAAAGCCTAGCATTTTAACTTATTTTACAAAATATATGTGTCCATCTTAACGTATGTGGCTTCATATGGATATTTTTTACTTTATTATCTAATTCATGTATTATTATTAATTTAACTCAACAACGCTCAAGCGAATCTTAGCTTCCTCCAGCAGCTATTGCCATGTGTTCCTATTCTGTGCTGATGCCATCCAATTTCTTACTCTGATGGTCCTTAAATAACTTGTGACACAGTCCGACCATCGCAGCCTGGGTCTTCCAACTCTACGCTGCCTGAATAACTGTTCCATTAGTATTTTCTTCGGAATGCACTGATCTGAAATCCGTGCGAGGTGTCCTACCCACCTTAATCTCCCCACTTTGTTAATTGCAACTTTTATCAGGTTTGTTATAGATTTCTTTATTTCTATGGCTTCTCCCAGGTGGTCCGATAGATTCAGTGAAGGATTTTCTTTTCAAAGTGAGCAGATCTCTTTCATCTGCCCTTCCATTAGTCGCGGTCTCAGAACCAGAAGTCAAAACAGGGGGGTTTATAAAGGATGATGCGCTGTGAGTCAAGTCTGCAAGATAGGTGTGAGTGGAGTCCATATGAGATCATTCCCTGCTTTTACGCCAAGATTCTGTTGTCATGCTATATAATTTGAGCAAGGAGTAGTTCAATTAAATGAACAGTTGTATAATTTGTAAAATGGGGGTTGGTCCACTTTTAGGTTAACCCTTCTAGTTAACAAAAAATATTATAAATTATTGTAACTAACTTTTTAATTTTTTACTTACACCTACCTATAAGTGTAATAGTTAGTAACAGTAAGTAATTTTCAATGGAAACACGTTCCTCTGGGTCGAAACAACAAAGTCCCACCAAATGGTCTGTGTGTGTGTGTGTGTATGTGAACAGTCTAGCTCAAAAACGAAAATTCGTACTAAACTGAAATTGCGTATTTAAGTTTTTTGTATGCCTGGGATGCAGTGCCGGGAGGCGTCAGCCGATCTTTGGAGACGCTAATCAATTATTATTAATTAAACAAAAAATACAGAACGTCTTAAAACAATTAATTTTAGTCTACCAATAAAGCAACTGTATTAGAGAAATATGGAATGAAAATTTCAAATATTACATTTTTTTTTAGGAGGGGGGTGAGAGGTAACGTCACTGCTGGGATGTTACAGCAACATTTTCGGTAAAACGGAAGTGGTATTTTATATCATCGATTTAACACATTTTTACGATTTTTTCAAAAACTGCTTCAACGATATTGATTAAACTCATTATGCTAATGTTCAACTAAGTGTTTTTTAATATTAGATAGGTTTTATCCACAGTGATGTCCTCAAACGGGGCGTAAATGTCGATTTTTCATAAATGTCTTTCTCGAAAGTACGTTTAATTTTGTTTGTTTAAAAAAATTAACTATTTCATAATTTACATAAGAAATAAAAATGATTAAATATAAATAATGAAAAAAATTGATCAAGAATTAAAGTAGAAATGTGAGATGGTATCGAGGGATCGAAAATTGAAATTGGCGCTCGAAAGGAAATAAGTTTGGCGGACAGATTCTGATTATATTATTTACTTATACATCTATGGTTTTCATAAATGCTAGTGCTAGTATTATTTAATAATTAAATGTATAGATTGCAGCATTATAAAAATTAAAATCTGTATATATAATAATGTTTAAACAAAAAATATACTTACAATGAAACATAATTGAATAAATGAGCTCCTTACTGACACTCTTTTCGGACTAAAAAGAATTCGTGGCACTTAATTATTTATTATAATTAAATAAATAATCAAAATATACAGTCGTAAAAGTAAATGGTTTGTGATGAAAAACGCATAAATTTAATATATTACACAGCTGGCTTTAGTAGCAGTGATGCAGTTGAGAGTAGCACAGGGTTCTCCTGGATGCCTGCTTTTCCCTCCATAGTTGGGGTGAATCCTGCCTCCGAGTTCCCTCATCTGATTATAAATAGTTTATATAGGTATGTATGTTGTTCTTGTTTTTATTAATTTCATTATTTTATTTTAATTATTGTATATACTTTTTGATTATTTATTTGTCTTTATTATTGGAAATAAAAATTTTCAGGTATAAAAAAAAACTAGTTTATTTGTTATAATAATTTTAATTTGATGTTTCGGGAAATTATTCTCATATTCAAAAATTTTACTCCCATCCTTTATTATTATTAACGGCTAGAAAAGATTCCCAATTAAAATGAATATATGTTACAAACATGTTAATTTAGGTTGTAACATAATTAATTATATTCACCTAAAACCTTGTGTGCTCCTTCATCATAATTTAAAGCTTTTGTAATATATATATTAATAAAAATTATACCTGGAATATCAGATTTTTATTTAAACATATGGACTAATAATTAAGTGTCTGTTAGCTACTCGGGGATAATATTGACATTTGCATCTGCCTATTTACTATTTTTCTATTGCTAATTGTGAGTTGGTTTCATAACATTCTATTTTTACTATATTTTAATTTAATTTAAAATATCTGCATAGTGTATTCCCAAATGTTTTGTAATTTACTGTTATACTATTGTTTTTTATGATATAGATGGCTTTGAATAATTTTCTATTGCTATTTTTTGGTTCTGTTCCTATTATTTGTGGTTTATTAAAATTTAAATTATGTTGTAATTTTATAATATGGTGTGCTAATGATGTGGAGTTTATGTTTTTTGTATTTTTGCAGTTGGAAATGTTCTGTGAAATTCTAATTTTTAGTTGCTTTGATGTTTCTCCAATGTAAATTTTAGGGCAGTTATGAGATTTCAGTTTGTAAATTACATTTTTGTTATCTATTGAATCTATTTTATCTTTTGTATTGGTAATGTTTGGTTCTTCTGTAGTCCTGCTCTTCTCTGGAAGTTCCCTCACCTGATTGTAAATAGTTTATATAGGTATGTATGTGGTTCTTGCTTTTTTTTTATTTTTATTTCCTTATCTTATTAGTTATTTTATTTTATTTATTGTTTATACTTTTTGATTATTATTTATTTGTTGTTTATTTAATATTTTTTTGTACATATATTGTAAATGTGATCCTACATCCTTATAACTAATGTTCAAATAACAGAATGTTGTAATATTCAATAAATTAATAGTTTAGAAAAAAAATTATACTAGACGAGAAAAACATATAGTAATTAATTGTTTGTATTTTCTAACATCAAGCGAATCCAATCCTTCCAGTCAAAAGTCCTTTGAACAATAGTCGATGCTCCTTTCTATGTAAACAACAAAACCCTACATCATGACCTCAACATCCCATTTGTCCTAGACCTTATCCCAGAAAAATTCTCCAAATTTTACCATAATCTTACATACCACCCAAATCCTCTTGCACAATCCCTATCAAGCACCTCCCATCCCTATAATCCTCCAAGAAGGTTGAAACGGCAGTGGCCTCGCGACCTTTTGTAGATTTTATATATTGGAGTTCTGGCAATGGCCAGATTCTTCACTCAAGACATGAGTGTATGTGGCTAAAGTGCTCTCAATCAATCTCCATTGGCTTTAGTACCAGTGACGCGGTTGAGAGAGTAGCGCAGGGTTCTCCTGGAGTTCCCTCGTCTGATTGTATATAGGTATGCATGTTTTTTTTTTTTTTTGCTTAGTTTTAATTTTCTTATTTTTTAGGTTATTTTATTTTATTATTTACTGTGTATACTTTTGATTATTATTTTGTTTCTATTTATTTTTTTTTTTTGTACATATAGTGTGAATGTCATCCTACCTCACTATAACCAATGTCCAAGAGACAGATTGTTGTAATACTCAATAAAGAAATAAAAAAAAAAACTTACTTCCAGTTACTACCATCTAAATACATTAATAGTAGTATTACTTTATTATGGGCACTTATGACTTGGATGTTTTGAGCCTGAAACATCAAATGGTGAAAAGACCTATTTGTACTCAAACTAGAGTAGTAATACAATTTTTTATAGTAATACAAATATAAATGCGATATAAAATCAGTTTAAAATTATTATATTTCCTCCTGGCACTAGTAATTAGTCAAGCCATAGTTGTGGTAAATCAATCTTGTATTCAAGATATTCATATTTTTGTGAAACATTGGTATCGTGAACTTAATGAAGAACTGATATGGAATAAATAAGTTACTAAATTTCTTTGTTTCAAATTTAATATTCTGGTCATGGGCACAGACTGAGGGGGGAGAAGAGAGGAGTTATGACCCCTCAATAATTTCAGGTAAAACAAAAATTAATATCAATAATAAATAAGCTACATGAATGAATAAAATTTGGAAAATAAAATCGATTAAGAAAAATGGGCTAGCTGGCTAGGCTAGGAGCTAGTAATATGAATGTAACTATTTCATCGATACCTAAATATTATTTTTATTTAATTTTCATTTATATCCAAAGATAATAATATATATCAACATATCCTAGAATTTTATTATTCAATCATTACTCAATTTCCACATATCACATTTTCTGCAAAAAACTTTTTTGCTTCCTCACTACCGAAGGTAGGGAAGCATTGTGTTCCTGCGAGAGATTAAAAAAAATTTGTTGCTCAGAATCGAAAATTTTCACTCGCGTTTTACGTTTCAGACATCAAGGATCAAATTTGGTTCGGTGTCTGTCTGTAGTCAAATCGATGTGACGGGCATATCACCTAGTACCGTTCATCCAATCTTCATGAAATTTTCAGGGATTATGCTGATCGGTGCCTAGATGGTCCCATATCAATTTTATCAAATTCCATCTAGCACTTCCGCTTACGCACGCGCAAACGTGTTTTTTCAGATATGCCAATATTTCAGAAAGGGCTCGTTCGATTTGGCTCAAAGTTAGATAAAAGGTAGACTTTGGTGAAAAAATAATGTAGTGTCAATTTCATTGAAATGCGTCCAACACTTTCTCTTATATGTGCACTACTAGTCCGCCGTCCGCCGTCCGCGCATTTTTTCTGAAACTACTAGACCGATTTTTTTCGAATTTGGATATAAAATCAGAGGTCACCCGAGGATCATCCTCCTTCAACGACATTACTATTCGCCTTCTAGTTTCAAAATGGCGGCCGAAAAACCTGCGTTGCTATAGACTGTAGCGCCTAAACGAATGTACCGATTTTGATGAAACTTCGCTAAAGTCATTTTCTTTACGCCCTCTAAATTTATCTATACTACATACTTCAACGAAAAGAAGCACAAAAAAAGTTACGAGGGATGGTAAAATTAAATTCTGAATAACTCAAGAAGTATACACATTTATGTCAATATTGTATATGGTTTTTTAGAAGTTTACGGAATTTCCTAAAAAAACAAAAAAAAAATCGTCAAAATCGGACAATTAGGAGCAAAGATATGGTCTCTAGTTTTTTTTAGATGTGCTATTGCAAAAGGTTTATCTTTTTTTTTATTTCTGAATGTGTTACTGAAGTAATGCTATTTTTTTTAGCATATTACTAATGATTAAAAAAAAATTTAGTCCAATAATTAGAATCACCTTTTATTTATTTTTATTTATAACTAGTAATTTAATGTTACTTTATATGTATAATTGTTTGGAAATAATATACCAAAGAGAAATAATTTGCAGTGGTTTTTTTCAAATTAGTTATCGTTATATATATATATATATATATATATATATATATATATATATATAAATCTTTCGTGCTGAAGCCCCTCCTCCAAAATTAAATCTTGATTCGGTAATGTATATACTATTATTAGAGCATAAGTTCGTATGTAATAATTTTCAACTTTAATTCTATGTGTATTAAAGGTGATATTTTGTAGTCTGCAACTGATATAAGTAGTCTGCTACTATGGAAAATAGCAGATGAAAATAAAATATGAAATTATTCTAATAAAGCATAAAGAAATATTGAGTTTTTATGCACTCTTGTAAAACAATAAATAAATTTATACATAAGACCTTTTGAACTAACAGTATTGAAATTCATGTTCAGTATGCATTTTTTTTTTTTTTTTTTTTTATTAAGCATAATCAAGTATGGAATGTTCAAATACGACCCTCTGTTGTTGAATGTTGAAGGGTAACTGTAATCGGCTATTCCGATTCTGGTTCTCTCAGAGATTTTATTCTCATACGAAAAATTGTATACCTTGTAATATACAACGGAAACGGTGAGGAAGCTATACTGACCTTACTTGGCAGACATTTTTTTATTTGTGGTTGTATACACTCAGAAATCAAAGATATTTTTTACTTTTTTACATTATTATTTTTAGCTGAACAAATTATAGAAATGTACCAATGTTATGAAGGTTGTCTACCATCCCCCTTGTGTTTAATCCAAACAAATACGTTATATATTCAATTGTATTTTTTTGTTTATTATTTTCAATAATGAACCATTGTGATAGACCAAAAAATTCAAAAACTTAACCCCCTCTCAAAATTTGAGGTTTTACGTTTCAGGATTCGTAGAATTCGAAAAACGAATAAAAATTTGTTTGTCCGTAACTACTGGACCGATTTTTTTCAAATTTGGATATAAAATCAGAGCTCACCCCAAGATGACCCTCCTTCATCGACATTACTATTCGCCATTTACATTCAAAATGGCGGCCGAAAAACCTGCGTTGCTATAGACTGCAGTGCCTAAACGAATGTACCGATTTCTCAATGAAACTTCGCTAAAGTTATTTTCTCAACATCCTTTAAATTTATCTATATAACATACTTCAACGAAAAGAAGCTGGAAAAAAAGTTACGAGGGATGGTAAAATTAAATTCTGAATAACTCAAAAAGTATACACTTTTTTGTTGATATGGGTTTTTAAACGTTTACGGAATTTCCTAAAAAAAATCGTTAAAATCGGACAATTAGGAGGAAAGATATAGTCTCTAGTATTTTGTTATATGTTCTGCTGCAAAGGTTATATCCTTTGTTTTGGTTTTTGAATTTTGAATGTGTTACTTAGGTAATGCTAGTTTTTTTAGCATATTAC